GTCTTCTAGGTTCTTTTCCGTCGTCCAGTGTATCCCCCTCTTCTCGCTGCCTACTGTTTGCTGCATGATCCAGTCCACCACAATAAGGAATATCATGGGGGATAGTAGGCAACCTTGTTTCACTCCTGTCTTCACTTCAAAGGCATCACTGAGCTTCCCATTGTGGATTACTTGGCATGTGGCATCTTCATATAGTTGTTGAATGAGGGGATAAAGGTTTGCGGTACTCCGTAGTATTGAAGCAGTTTCCAAATACTTCTCGGTCGACGCTGTCAAAGGCCTTCTCAAAGTCGATGAAGTTGAGGTGGAGAGGTGATTGCCATTCTATGCTCTGTTCCATGATGATACGAAGCGTTGCAATTTGGTCTGCACATGATTTGTACTTCCTGAAGCCTGCCTGTTCCGGTCGTAGTTTTGAATCCAGTGCATCCCTTAGCCTCTCCAGGATGATGCGGCTTAATATTTTACTTGGGGTGGACAGGAGAGTGATTCCCCCCAGTTCTTGCAAGCACTGAGGTCTCCTTTCTTCGGCAGTTTGACAAGGTAACCCTTCTTCCAATCGTCAGGTACCTTCTCTTCCTTCCACACCTTCTGCAATAGTGGTGTGAGCATGGCCGCTGTTGTCTCTGCATGTTTTCAGTGCTTCTGGCGGTATTCCATCTGGTCCTGCTGCTTTACCGCATTTCAGTAGCTTTATGGCGTTCAGGACTTCCATTTTCGTTGGGGGATTAATGTTCACTTGTAGTTCAGCGGCTGCAGGTGGTATTTCTGGACGAAGTGCAGGTGGTGGTCGATTCAAGAGCTTCTTGAAGTGGTCGGCCCATCGTTTCCTCTGTTTCTTTTCTTTTGTAATTAAATTTCCTTCTTCATCTTTTATTGGTTTCATCTGTGTTGGTCTCTTCCCTGATAGCAACCTGGTTATTTGATACAATGTCGTCAGGTCTCTCTTACCTGCAGCCTGTTCTGCTTCACTTGCCAGGTTTCGTTGAAGTGTCTTTTATCTCTCCGTGCACTCTTCTTCACTTCTTTGTCCAGTGTTTTATACATTGTGCTCAGTTCCTCTTGTCGTTGAGCATCCTTGCACTGGTTTATCTTCTGCTTCACCATCCTCCTCTCCTCTATCAGCTTCCAGGTATCCGTCGAGATCCATTCCTTGTCTTCTTTCTTCTTCCTTCCTAATACTGTTGTGCAGGTTTCTTTCCACATAGCTTTCAAAGACTTCCAGTGTTCTTCCACACAGGTTTCTCAAGGGATGTTCCTCGATGTCTCTCATTTTGTCTTGATGGCTGCCTTGAAGATCTCCTTTGTAGTTTCATCCTTCAGTTTCCGAGTGTTGTACTTGAATTGAGGTCTATCACCAGCTTCCTTGAAGGCTTTTAACTTGATTTGGAAGGTTCCTTGCACTAGATAGTGGTCTGAACCTACATCTGCTCCTCTTCTTGACCTTGTGTTAAGTAGACTGCGTCTCCATTTTCTTGAGATTGAGATAAAGTCGATTTGATTTTTAGTGTGTCCATCTGGTGAAATCCATGTCGCTTTGTGGATATCTTTGTGCCTGAACACACTGCCTCCAATCACCAAATCGTTGAATGCACAGAATTCTGCAAACAATTCTCCATTCTCATTCATTTCACCTAGTGCCTCTCGACCCATGGTTAGTTCTCTCCCGTGTTGTCCCCTCCCAGTTTGGCATTCATGTCGCCCATCAGAATTTTGATATCGCCAACTGACGTCTTGTCCAGTGTTGATTGAAGTTGTCTGTAGAAATCCTCCTTTTTCTCTTGCTCTGCATTATTTGTAGGTGCATAACATTGTATGATTGTGACCTTTCTTCCTTTTGAGTTGAATCTTGCTGTCATGATCCTGGAGGAGATTGGTTCCCACTGCATGAGAGCCTTCGATGCTCTTGAGGACATCATGATAGCCACTCCCTCAGTGTGCTCGTGGTTGGCGTCTGGGTGACCGGAGTAGATTATTGATTCTCCAGTTGACGGTTTGGAGAGTTCACTCCCATTCCATCTGCTTTCGCAAATTCCAAGCACTTCGATGTGATACCTTCTCATCTCCCTTGCAATCTGGGCTGCCTTACTGGGTTCAAACATGGTGCGGACATTCCATGTCCCCACGTTTACTTTCGCTTTCATCGTGAGAAGACACATCGGCCAATTGACTTCCCGAAGGCTTTCACCAACTGGCGTCATTTCGCCTCTCCGATTCCAGCGGGGAATAAGTTTGTTTTCATTTTTTATATTTTGTTTGTGCTTTGAAGTTTCTTTAGCGGTTAGATTAGTTTTCGGGGTAGGGTTGCTAGCCCTATGCCCAACCTTCCCTCTTTACCCGGGCTTAGGACCGGCTAGTAACTAGTAAACTAGTTAACCAGGCGAGGTTGCTCGAGCTATATGTACACTTTAATTTACGCATATAAAAATGACTCTTATGATTTTCCGACGTAAAATTCGTACAAGTTTTTGGATATATCGTGTTTATTTGTAGACATATGGGTAGAACTGACTCTACATCAAGGTGATATATACTTTACTAATGTATACTTTACTGACTACACAACCTAAGCTAGTGGGAATAGCAGTCAAACGCCCCATTCAATAATGTTAGGGCCCATTCAGGAAAAAGTACTTGGGATTGATGATAGCTTTAATTTACACGTTTAGGAGTCCTAGTATGCTTTCATTAGCCCAGAACTACAATAAATGATTATAGTTGGGTTTTCGTACATGATAGCATCTAGGATATTGTTAACTGGGTGATACTTTCCTATTGGACAAGGACACTTATTTGTAGGAATCTGATTAATTCAACCCAGATAAACTGTCTGTACTTAGATTGGCTTGTAAAATCACCATCACTTGTCACATAAATTCTGTTTTAAGAAATTAATCGCCATCAGGTTAAGATTAAATCCAAAATGAATTTAAGATTTGTAGAAAATTTAATTCTGTAGTATAAATGTTGAGTAATATTTCAGGGGACCTGTTTCGAAATGTATTGAATGTAATTATTGTTATGATAATTGTAATTTCTCGTTGTTAGACAGGGCTGAATTGCCCTATCTCTGTTTGATAGACGGGCTCCTTTACGGATGCCTTGATACTGCTGCTGATGTTACATTGATCTCGGTGACTAACTGAGAACTCCAGGAACTGGGGTTTTATTCTATTTGGTACTCGGCTCAGTGGATAACGCTCTGCCGGTTTAAGCGATGGGTACTGAGTCCGATCTACGATGAGAACCACACCACTCACTGGGAAGCTGCTACATCCAGCTGATGAATCCCGAGTAGGATGAAACACGCATCCTGGTAGTCGCCGAGATCAATGTGTATTGGGTGTAATTTATAACTATAAATGAGGTTTGCAAAGAAATCTAAATCTTAAATGTATCAATCAAAAGTTTGCATTCAATGTTAAGTTCTTATTTTGGTAATCATTCCAACAAGATTACCGCCCGTGATCATACCAACAATTGAAATATTTTCGTAATAATATTTTACTGAAATAAAAGCTTATCACTGTTTGTTATCTTTTCATTTGAATTTTGAGGGATTTGTGGAGATTTGGAAATATTTCAAGTTGTTATTCATCGTAGACTGACATCAGTCGGAGGAACAAAGGAAACCTGGGAGCACTGGACAGCTGATTCATCCTAGTATGGAACTCCTCAGCAGTGCGCACCCATGACCACACTCCGCCTGGGATTGAACTCGCGACCTTCAGATTCCGTGGTCATCCCGTTACCATTGACCCACTGGGTCAGAATCCAATGCTCAATATTTCCAACTTCTGTTAGCTCACGATATAGGGTAACCACCACGCAATATTATCGTTGAGTAACTGTCCTCACGACCACCAGGCATTGTCGTCACCGGTCACGACTTCTCACTGGAACTTCGGGAATACCTCTCGAAGTTAGTCACCAATGAGCACTAGTTCAACTGAATTTTGAGGGAGTTGTGGAGATTTGGAAATATTTCAAGTTGTTATTCATCGTAGACTGACATCAGTTGGAGGAACAAAGGAAACCTGGGAGCACTGGACAGCTGTTTTGTCCTAGTATGGGACTCCTCGGCAGTGCGCACCTACGACCCCACTAGGGACCGAAGTCGCGACCTTCAGGTTCCGTGGCCAGCTGTCCAGTGCTCCCAGGTTTCCTTTGTTCCTCCAACTGATGTCAGTCTATGATGAATAACAACTTGAAATTTTTAATTTGTTATGTGCTTATATTATTCCATTCGACAATACAGAATCTTTTCATCGAAGGGGTAAAAAATAAAGTTGAGAAAAAATTATTATCGTGGACCAAATGTATTTCCGTAAACAGTGTATGATCTGTTTTTAGGGTCCACTTGGAAGGCTTTTGATCTTCTGTAGGCGATAACTGACTCAGGGCTAAAGATTTGTTTTCATAGAGTGAGACAACAAAACATTCGAATTTTTTTTTGTTATCCCTTCCCCCCTTTTGCCTTTAATACATCATCTACGATAGACAGATGAAAAGATTGGTGAAAATGTTTTCAGTTCCCAAGATGAGAAACACTAGATTCTTTTGTGACATTGTGATGATCGATTTTCAATTGTAGTACAAATTATCTCTAGCCATTGATTCCTATTGCCAGATAGCCTATATAACTCGAATCAACAGTCAAAAGTATCTTAATCTGATCTCTCTTGGATTTCTTTCACTTCAGTCTAGCTTCGGTTAATATCATACAGATCAAAGCTGACGAGGTGACTTAGCTTATATAACATGTTTATGAACCTCACCAAGTTACTAACTAGTATTATGACATAAATTCTTGTGTTTCACTTATATAGTGTATTAGTGTAGAACGTTTACAGTCTCAGTTTTCATGAGAACACCGTAAACACTACCATGCCAGTTGAGTGGGATAGAATCATCTTCAAGTGATTATGTCCATCTAATGTCAAGTTGATTTGATAGCAACTAACCTCTGCCTCTATATTTTTAACTTATTAACCATTTAGCTACTTCTTAGAAGATGATGACACTGGTAATTTAGAATATCAGCCAGCTCCAGGAAGTCCAGCAGCTTTAAGAAATTCTAATGAAGTGAATATTCAGTCAGATGATTCAGATGACCCCTTAGATCAATACATGGCTAATATTAATGTGAGTAATATAATACTTTTAACAAAACACATAAAGTTTACTTATACCTTTTTCTAATTGTTATGAAAGTTGCTTTTGTTTGGTGTGTATTCGACACAGTGTGTTGTGATTTGGAAACTGTTATATGCTATGATCGCTGCCAACGCTGCATGGATATGGAGTGTCAGGCACCAACATTCAATAGATCCCTAGTTGATTCTGGACCCAACTTATTAGTAGAGAATACACGATAGACGTGTAGAAACGTGTATTCGGGTCGAAAAAACCGAAGACCTCGAAACAAAGGAGAATACAGCAAATATATAAATACTTCGCTGTTTACGATAATCTTATTGATTGGCTGTTCCACTGTCTGTTTGTCTAACTGTAGAAGTTAAAAAAAAACGTAGGTTCTGTGGCAAAATCATGTTGCAGCATTGGTCGAGCTCATGTGGACCAAGTTTTTGGAGTAGAAGACATACCTTCCAGGAGTCTTCACCTAGAAGTGTACATCTGCCTTCACTGCTCAGACTTTATATTCAAAGACTTTATGAATTGCTGCGAAGACAGTTTTTTTTTCTTGTCGACGAAATCATTCTCTTAGTTCTACATTCATGAATGCATAGTAGAACGGACAGAACATTCCAGAGTAATTCCTGGTCATAGGGCAATATAAATCGCAGCACAAAGCTGTGTACCCTTAAACAGAAAGAGGAATCTTAACTCTCTTCAAGAACACGAAGAATATACACGAAGGATACCATCCATGATGAACTAGAAAACTTGCAAGAAATCCTGATGATAGATACCCACTGAAATTTATGCATAAGAATCTAAAGCCGAAAAACACCACAGTACACGGTAGATGCTGCTCTGAAAAAGATTTAACTATGGAACCTCGACTTCAAGGAAGATAAGACTATCAAGGTCCATCAACAGAACATTATTTACTGCTAATCGTAGAATCACATTCTCCCATCAGAAACTCAAAGGACAAACCGGAGCATTGGGTCACATCAGTGTGTGTATATTAGTTTATTAGCTCCTGTGGAGCCGAATACTTCGACCGTACCATACTCCAGTTCATGCAACGCGCTGGCGAACACTATTCAACTTTACTGACAAAGGGAAGATGGAAATGCATCCTCAACTCTGTAACACAACAATTACTAAACTCAGAACATTTGGTTCCTTTTCATAAATCCTTCAAAATTCTGTACAATGTGTTACCAAGTCACGTCAAAGAAGTAAGACTAAGACATGTGGGGCATAGCTGAAGCATTGGCCATTCAAAAATTCAAACCATCATTATGCGTTCAAATGAAGTATATACAACCTCATTCTTTGTAATGGCCATCATAAATCATCTGTCACTCTCAATAACCCACATAAGAGTTACAACTCTTATTATTTTTATAGTAAAGATGGATAGCTGCTAGCAGTGGAATTCAGGATGCGCATTTCGTTTTATTTGGGACTCGTCAACTAGATGTACCTGGCTCCCAGTGAGTGATATTGTTCCCATCGGGATTTGGACTCGGGAGCGATCGCTTCAAACACCAGAGCGTTATCCACTACACCACCGAGCCACGATAGCCACTTGTGCGACGGGTATAGTTTTAGTATAATTGCTTGTATTACCTCGTCGTTGATTGGATCAAATTGATCGGTCTCTATTGACATATGGGCTTTTGTGTGGATGCCTTGATATTGCCTGTGTTTTAATTATATATAGTAATGACGGGTAATAGCTAGCAGTAGAATCCAGGATACGCATTTCGTCCTATTTGGGACTCATCAGCTGGATGTGCCTCCTTCCCTACCGTTATAGTGTAAGTTACTGAACTATGATGGGGGTCCGAGGGTGGTCGTACTGCTGCTAGTTGAACACGGTGTGACAGCGGCAAGGCAGTTCCCCTTGGATGACCAGCAGTACCATGTGGGTTAGAAAAGGTCGATCCTAAAAATAGCACACTCCCCCCGCTCAAGGTCTTCCGGTGCAGACAGCATTGCTTTTTTATATCCAGTGTTAGGACAACCAAATCTCAAAATAACACTTTACTAAAGGCTGTGTAGATGTCCCATTGACTCTGTAATCACACAAATCTTTCTATCTTTCAGTTATCCTAAGGAGAAATCGCCTTCTACAGTGTAGGCGACCGTCCGCACACTTCCAGTTGTACACATGTGTGAAGTTCCACTATACATAATTTAGTTTGGGCCAATATTGCCTAGTGTTATTAACTCACCACGTAATAGTTTTGACCGATTCAATTTAGCATCTTACTATATCTACATATAAAGGTTTAACTGAAGTTACTGTTTTGCATTCATTGGTCGTTGGAACAGGAAGAAGTCCAAGCTCTTCATTCCGGTGACAATAAGGAATCGAATAAACCAAAGAAAACGGCAAAAAGCGATGTAAAGTAAGTAAAAACCAAAACAAAAGAATACTGTTTTAAATACTGGTTGATGATGAAATAAGAATTTAAGCCACGATGGGTCTTGAACCAGTGACCTCTGGGTGGTTACCCATGGGTTCGATTCCTGTCGCGGCTCAGATTTTTCTTTTCACCTTCAATCAACACTCTATATTAATAATACAAGTTTGCCGGGTAGTGTTGGCTAGGCTTCATCTACACAAATAACAGTAAAGGATGAGGATTGTGGTAGATTGTAATTCTATTTTACTGTGTTTACCAATCTGTGATATTTTTGGATATTGGATAATCCTATTGGGTCTACCGAATCCCTTGTCAGATCGAATGCAGAGAGCAAGCTGTTTGACTTAACGATAACTAAGCATTTTAAAGCAGATAAACTTACTTTACTTAAGTAAATCATGGAAACTTGGGAGCACTGGACATTTGTCTCGTCCAAGTATGCGACTCCTCAGGAGGTGCGCATCCATGACCCCACCCTGCCAGGGATCGGACCCAGGCCTTTATGTTCCGCGCTCAGCACGTTACTATTGAACCACTGGGTCGGAATCCAATGGTCGATATTTCGAATCTCTGTCAGTTCACAACATAACATGACCATCATCCTATGTCCTCACGTCCACCAGGTTCGCTTCACAGGTCATGGTACGCACTGCTTAGGGGTCCCATACTAGAAAGAAGCAGGTGTCCAGTTCTCCCAGGTTTTCAATGTTTCTCCTTTTGTCTGTTGATGATGAATACCAACAGAAAACTTGTTGAATCAAGATTGGTGAAACATAATAACATGAAGAATGCATAAGAAATCTCATTTATAACTATCATAGCAAACCAAGAAACAATTAATGCAAAAAATTGAAGTCTTGGTCATCTACAACTGCTAACAGTAATTAAAAAGGCCATAAAAATATTTACCAAAATAGAAATTCAATCAGAAGGTCAATAAGTGTTGTATATGTTTCCAAAATAGTTACTTGAATACAGTATTATTGAGTCGAATCTAGTCCCCGCAACTTGATTTGAAGCATCGAAGGGTGCTATGGTGACGAGACTTCAGGAAGGGGGGTACTGCCGTCGAATGGGCTGTTTATCTGTTTGGTTCAGGTGGAGACGGAAACAAGAAGAACAGAGCAATAGAAGCAAGTCTCACAGTATGTTTCCATGCCAAAGTGACACCCAAGTTACAAAATTTGTATTCTTAGGAATTCATGTAATTAAATAAACAATCTCTTATTTTTCCATATGTTTATGAGAAATGTAGAAGATTTATACTGGTTGATGATTGAAGGTGAAGTGAAAGTTTGAACCGCGACCGGATTCGAACCAGTGACCACTGGGTTTCCAGTCCGACCCTCTGGACATCGTAGCTCATTTGGTAGAGTATCGGTTCGAATCCGGTCGCAGTTCAAATTTTCACTTCATCTTCAATCATAAACCAGTATAAGTACTGGTCCGCCAAACGATGGCGGCTATCTTAAATAGTCAAAATGATAATGTAGATGACATGAATGGATTGACTCATTCTTCTCTACACTTGATACGATTACACGCAATTACACAGTAGGATAGAACAAAGCGAGACTATTAGAATGGAATTTATTTAGGTGGAGGGAGAATTGCTGACACCAACTACATGCAATAGGCATGACTCCATACCTGTTATACATATGGTTGATCTTGATTGTATTGTGTTCTCTGAGCTGGATTGTTTACTCATGGAACTTTCATTATCATTCTAGACAATACCATCAGCCCTAATTCCTGTATGCAGTGAGACATCAGGTTCTCGCCTTGAGTGATTTATTAGCTTGCCTACATGAAATGTGAAATATTCAAGAAACAAATTCTTCTGTTGACAACACCGTAGGGTAGATTATGAAGTAGTGAATAGTTTACAATTCCATTTTAGTCTGTTTATTAGAAACACCACACACACAAACAATGTTGGATTGGAAGATTAAACGAATACAAGAAGGAAATGTAGAGACTGGTGTCTATAGGAACTTACCATTCGAATCGCTACTTAGATTTCGAAGTCTCCCACCCCATCTCAGTTGAAGTAGGCCTAGTTAAATGCTTAAATAATAGGACGGAAAAACTTACTAGTAGACGAGAAAATCTGAGACAAGAAATTAGACACATCAAGAATGTCTTGCGTCCTAATAACTACCCACCTGAATTTATGAATAAATTCATAAGAAATCGAAAGAAAAATATTAGCAGTGGTAATAATAATAATAATAATAATAATGCAGGTGTTATTAATAATAATTCTACTACCAATGGTAATAATGGTAACAGAGTTGAGAGAGAATTCAAGCTTCTTCTGTGTTACCATACAAGGAAGGCACTTGAAAGCATTACAAGGAATTGTGAATAAGGTTGATTTGGATTAAAGTGGCTGGCATTGAAACCAACAAACTCGTTTAGAGACGAGTTTTGTAGGTTAAAAGATCCTATTGATGCAATTGAGCAAAATAATCTGGTTTGCCAGATAGATCCCAGGTCAAGTATATAAGTTGATGAAAGTAGTCGAGTAGGTTTGATTAGAATAAGCTTAGCTAAATCAAGATTAGTAGATTGTAATCAGATAAGGAATTTAGGGAAAAGTTGTTCGGTTATAGCTCTACATGTGATGACACACAATCACATAGTAGGGTGTGGGATTAGGCGACGGTGTTGAAAACTAACTTAGTTATATGGAGGGAGGGAGAGATTGATAACCAAATCTTTGTTTATCGAATCAACACGAAATACATGCAATCGAAATGATTCTACACCTATTCCACATATATGGAAAATTCTACTACCGTTGTCATCACAGAGAAGGGGAGAAAATTAGGAATATATAAACTGTATCTCGAAGTTGTGAAGTTATCTGATACGAAATATGGACAATAAATTGTGTCCGAAACGTTATGGAGTAAATGGCATGTTCCTTCACTGTGTGACATTTCTAATAAACAGACTAAAATGGAATTACAATCTACTGCAGTGTCCAAGGTTTACTCTTATATTAATGAACAGTTTGCGTCGTGAGGTGGTCAATAACCAGGTAGTCTAGACTTCATAACACAACTTCGTGGATTAGTAACACATATTTGTTTGTCTACTCTGAGACTTCCTCTCTCTCTAGGTATCGTCATACAGTAAAATGATTCAGTTTATATAACATTTATTCTGTTTCACTGACTGACTGACTTGGATCCTCGACACCGTAAAAATGAGTGGCTGAGGAATGTTGGTGACGTGACTGAAAACCAGTCATAATGACGCAGTTGTGTACACTCCTTGACATCGTCTAAAGCTTGGACATTCGGACTAACCTTTTTCTGCTGGTTGTTTATTCTCCTCTCACACAACTTTACCTACTTTGATATCACTCTTTTTCTATCCGCCCGTTCTTTGTGTGATATTGTGAAGTGTGGCAAATTGAGGCGATACAGTCATGTACGGGGTTCTACATTGATTCTACCTGTCTTTCTGTCTACCGATATCTGCTACCTTGACGTGATGGTATGACTTGTATATCATGATGATCCGACGAGATGTTCTGGTGAAACGCTTGTTCCCTCAAGGTCCTACCATACCAGAAAGGTCTGTTTGATGGTGGTTAGACAAAAAGCAGTTACCCTTACCCTATCACGTTCTTAAACAATGAGACGATGCACTATGATGGCTTAGATCAGTCATCAGTGTTTAACGGTGATCTAAAACTAAATTACGTATGTCCAATCACACCTTCCATAATACCAATTTTCGTGGTATCAAAAAGCCGTACTTGACCGGCGTCTAGCAAATTTCCCCGGGGTCTGCGACCACATACTAACCTTTCTTTTTCAGGTACCTTAAGAAGACTTAGCCTACCTCGGTGTAGGCAGCAGGGAAGCGTCAACTGCCCTCTCAACTCTGTCAGCGCTCAAGTTTTCCCCTGTCTATCTGACTGACTTTATATACTTAAACTGATGAAAACCCTGGCGATGCTGAGACCGTAAGGTAAATGATGTCCCTTTTTTTTTCTCTCTCTCTCTCTCTTCCACCACTTTATAGTTGATCTATGTTCATATATACATATCTAAGTTATTTGTTGGTAAATTTTTTCAACCTCAGAGGTGTGCGTGATGATATTGAACAAGAGGATGAAATCGAATCGTATCTTAGATTTATGGAAGAAAATCCACATCTTGGATTACTTGCTGACGATGAGGAAGAAGCTTATGAATATGATGCTGATGGTAATATTATTGGCACTGAGAAAAAGGTAAGAGCATAGTACGGTGTGTTGTAGATTTCAACTGGTTTCATTACTTTCATATGATGATAAGTTGTGCAAAATGTGTATATGAAGCCATTGGTCTATGAAAAACACCTTGTAGCGTTAAGGTTCTAGATATCTGCATACTATCTGATTGTGCAAAACATCGGTAAGGTGGATGTCGAGTATTGAGAATCATTGTATTTACATCACTGCCTAGTTTACGTGTAGTTACGTGAGTTTCATTCATTCACATCTATGTAGGTGTTAGCAGGATATCCCATCAGGCTTATAATAGGTTTTAGAAACACTCCAACTTACGAGTTGTCTAAATAATTTACCAATGGTGTCTAAGCCCATTAAAAAATCACTCAAAATCTTGACTTACTCTTATGACTTAAAGCACAGATTAGATGACAGTGAAAAAATGGTTAGTTTTGACATAACTAGCCTTTACATAAATATATCGATTGACATGGTTCTAGAGGCAGTTAGAAATGGGCTTAAAGATGACAAAGAACTTACGCATCGAACTAAGGTGCCGATCGAGGATATCACGCTAGGGGTACGATTGTACCTAACATCTACAGTTTTTAAGTTTCAAAATAAAATATATAAACAAACCGAGTGGGTTGTCATGAGATCATCAATATCCTCTATCGTCGCAGACATATTTATGAATAGTTGGGGACTGATAGCCCTTCAAACATTTAGTCCTACTCCAAAGATATGGTTCCGATATGTAGATGACACATTTACAGTACTGAAATTGGAACACATCAATAAGTTCTTGGCACATATAAATTCAGTAGTGAATGCAATCCAATTTACCTGTAACTTAGAAAGTGATGAAGGTGAGCTAGCAATGTTGGATTGGAAGATTAAACGAATACAAGAAGGAAATGTAGAGACTGGTGTCTATAGGGAACTTACCATTCGAATCGCTACTTAGATTTCGAAGTCTCCCACCCCATCTCAGTTGAAGTAGGCCTAGTTAAATGCTTAAATAATAGGACGGAAAAACTTACTAGTAGACGAGAAAATCTGAGACAAGAAATTAGACACATCAAGAATGTCTTGCGTCCTAATAACTACCCACCTGAATTTATGAATAAATTCATAAGAAATCGAAAGAAAAATATTAGCAGTGGTAATAATAATAATAATAATAATAATGCAGGTGTTATTAATAATAATTCTACTACCAATGGTAATAATGGTAACAGAGTTGAGAGAGAATTCAAAGCTTCTTCTGTGTTACCATACAAGGAAGGCACTTGAAAAGCATTACAAGGAATTGTGAATAAGGTTGATTTGGATTAAAGTGGCTGGCATTGAAACCAACAAACTCGTTTAGAGACGAGTTTTGTAGGTTAAAAGATCCTATTGATGCAATTGAGCAAAATAATCTGGTTTGCCAGATAGATCCCAGGTCAAGTATATAAGTTGATGAAAGTGGTCGAGTAGGGTTGATTAGAATAAGAGAGCACACAACTTTGTCATTGCTCACTGTCCTTCACTTTGCATACACGATTGATCTTTCTCCATTCTTGGTCAGATTTCATCGCTTAGCAACCTGTTAGGATTCACGTATCGTCATCATCAAACCAGAAGTTGGTATAGGGTAATCTGACAGAAAAACTTCGGTTTGTAGGCTTTGTGAGGATTTATTGGTTTCAGGTTGCACTGACGTTATTTTGAGGAACATTGGAAACCTAGGATCAGCAGACAACTAGCTTTTTCTTCCTAGTATTGGGACTCTTCAGCAGTGCGCACCCATGACCCCGCCCCACTAGGGATTTGACCCAGGACCTTCAGGTCCCGTGGCCAGCACCTTACCATTCATTCCATGATGAGTATCTACCTTATATCAATAAATCCCCCCAAAACCTCCAAATTGAACTAATCTAGTGTACATTGGTGACTGTCTTCGAGAGGTGATTCCCGAAGTTCCAATGCGAAGTCGTGACCAGTGGAATCGAACATCAGGAAAGTTACTCAATGATGGAATTGGATGAAGTTCGTGCTGCATCGTGAACTGACAGAAGTATGAAATATGGACGATTGGATTCCGACCGAATGACTCAATGGTAACGTACTGGCCTCGGAACCTGAAAGTCCTCGGCTTGATCCCTGGAAGGCAGAGTCATGGGTATCTACTTCTGAGGAGTCCCATACTAAGAAGAAATAGCCGGTTGTCCAGTCCTCCCTGGTTTTCAATATTCCTCCAGCTCATAGTCAGTCCATGATGATAACTAGTTTGAAAAGAAAAACTCCGGTTTTCGATTCATTATTAACTACTATGATGATATTCTCAGTGGATTCTGTAAGGTCATGAATTCACTCTGCACTTGTTTATGACGCAACAGTAAGGCTGGTCTATTTACATTTCTGTAAATTCCATGCCTTTTTGATACAGGAATCTTCATATCTCAACACTGTAATCAGGAAAGTTACCACTATGACTAACAACTTTGTAGGATGCAATAATTATGGTAATGATGGGTAGTGGCTAACAGTGGAATCCAGGATGCGCACTTCGTCCTGTCTGGGACTCATCAGCTGGATGTATCTGCATCCCAGTGAGTGATGTTCCCACCGGGACTAGGACTATATTACCATATATAACTAAAACACAGGCAATACCGAGCCATCCGCACAGGAGCCCATATGTCAATAGAGACCTGCCAATTCGGTCCAATCAACGACGGGGTAATCCAAGCAATTATACTGCAATGATTATGATTTATCAAGGAACCGTCTTCTTTCTTTTTCTTCCCTCTGCTGGTTACCGTAGTGTGTGCTGTTATCTGACGTGTAGTTATGCCAGTCCCATACTTTGACCTTCAAGATTGAGATTCTTCATGTGCTCAAGAAGTTTAACTATTTCCCGTGAATATGGCTACTATACCTCACTCCACAAGCAAACACTTTTATACCTGGTGAAGGCGAAATAAACATTTTGCCCATCACAGGATTCGAGCCAGTGACCAATAGGTTTTCGGCTCTTGTGCTTTCTACCAAGTGAACTACGAGACTCGACTACTGTGATCAGATTTTGATTTTATTTCAATCACTAAGGCTATCATATGTAGTCAAAACTGAAAAATAACTTTTATATTAAGCTAATTTTCTGATATTTTTCTCCACCTATTCTATTTACAAGTGTTTATCTTTTTGCTATTGCTATGCTTTATGTTTTCAGATGATTGATCCCTTACCACCAGTTGATCATTCAATGATAAATTATGCTCCATTTGCAAAGAATTTCTATATTGAACACGAAGAGATCAGTAAATTGGATGAAACCGGTGTAGATGCTCTACGAGCTAAACTTGGCTTACGTGTCAGTGGGCCAAGTCCACTTCGTCCTGTTTGTTCATTTGCTCACTTAGGTCTAGATGAACCATTGATGGAGGCTATTCGTAAAGCTGGTTACACTCAACCAACACCTATTCAAGCACAAGCTGTCCCTATGGCAATGGCTGGACGTGATGTAATCGGGATCGGTAAAACTGGTAGTGGGAAAACAGCTGCTTTCCTTTGGCCATTGATTATTCATATTATGGATCAAGTGAGTTCATTCATTCATTCGGATTTGTTTTTCATTTTTATAATCTTCATGTACAAGGAGTCTATTCTATTAAGTTGTTTCTAAGTTACCTAGTAACAGGCTTTCTCACTTCAACTTTTTTTAAGTACAAGATCCTAGTCAATTGGAGGCATTCAGCTTAAAATGTTCTGCATCTTGTCAGCGTCCTCACCTAACAGGACTATGTCATCTACATATTCTAGGTCTGACGAAAATTATTCCGTGATCAGGTCAATCTCAGTGTAACCAGATGACAAGAGGGGGACCTCCGTAATAATATCTATGATAAATTATTCTATTGCAGGTCTCCTTCTCGTCACCCGATTATACAGAGATTGACCTAATCGCAGGAGAATTTTCATTAGACCTAGAATATGTAGATGACATAGTCCTGTTAGATGAAGACGCTGACAAGATGCAGAGTTTTCTGGAGACTTTGAGTGGCAATTTGAGAATGTTTGGGAGGTGTTTCTCACCACCCAAATGCAAATCGTTGCTCCAGGATTAATCTTCAACGGTGCACCACCGTGGCTAACAATAGAGAGGGTAGTGGTTGAGTGTGTCGACCACTTCACTTACCTAGGAAGTAAGATCAGCCCTACGATGGTGGCTCAGTGGCCGATGAAATCTCTGCACGGATATGAAAGACTCCGTTGGTTTTCGCCAGCTTACCCCACCTGTGGCACCTCCGTGATATCCGGTTGCCATTAAGGGTTGCGTGTACTGCATCTGCACAGCAGTTCGCTCTGTTCCACCGTATGATTGTGAAACATGGATATTGGAGGTGGAAGACGTGAGAATCAATGTATGAAGTGTTCGACAAGAGGAATGAGTGGTTGGTGACTGACTGTAGGTGATCACATGGCTGAGAACCGATGTCAGTGGCGCAGATGTATGCTCACGCACATATTATCCTCATCTTAACGACGCTATACTGAATGTCACCATTTTCTCATTCTCTCTCTCTCTCATTTTATATTTGTTTTGACTGAATTTTGTTTTCTTCATGGTTGCACTTCACTGCCTTTTTACTTGATGTGGTGATATGAGATGAGGTATGGCAAGTTGAACCGCTATGCAGTAATGCCTAGTCCTATGTTTACTTGGATGGATGGACGCAAAATTCAATCTGTCCGTTAGTTGATACCAAAAATAGGACTCTGACGTTACTGTGCAACAAGCCAAGTCAGTGTTGTTACACCTCATACCAGCACACCAGGGTAGAAGCCAATGAACGAGAAGTGTTATGCACTTCCGGATAGTTGACAACAAGACACACCTATTGTGTAAGGCTATTGGTGCCACCTGCCTACTCAAACCCTTGTAGGTGGAGCTGGGTTCGAACACGTAGCCCAATGATTATCCTCCCTAAACCAACTGACCCACAGATCCACTAAGGCAACGAGGTAACAGATAGAAAAAATGTAAAAAGTCTTAAGAGAAGCGAAGAAGAAAGGGTAAAACAATGACGATTGATATGCAGATGTGTTTACGGCTACTGGTCACTAAGATCTTTTCTGAGTCATGTATCACCTACGGTCGTCAACCATCGACTTCTCTCATCACATGAATCCTAAACGGAAAGTTTATATTGCCCTAGACTATCCAGACCAATAGACACCAATTCCATGGACTAGCCCCAAGGAAGATTTCATTTCTCTTCGTCTGTTGTCTCAACATTCATTATACCGTCTAACGTAATGGAAAGGAAAAAACACCCTGCAGTAAACTCTGCAGAGAGAGCTACACATTCATCCTCTTAAAGCCAAACCAAAGAGATCGATGATTCCAAAGATGCCCCAGATTAAGTAGTTTTTCAACCACCTTACTGTAGTAGCAGCCAACAGAGTTTCCGTTGCAAAATGCCCAGCGAAGGGAAGCCTGATTGGGGTTTAGATCATTTTGATCCGACCGGCTGATGATATCTACAGATCAGCCTACGTGTCGTTTCTCACTACTCATGTTGCAGTATATTTTGTTATTAGTGTTTATTACCTGTCTGACTTTTGCAATGTGACAATTGATCTTATATGCTACACAGATAAATGCGCTTCAGCACGAAGTTACTGCTAATGATGTCGTCTAGAAAGACGATGAAAGCTTCATGATTGAACAACCCAGCTCAGAGGACACAATACGACCAAGAATCAGAGATCTTTATTCATTTTATGCTTGTTTATAAAGTATTGTTTATTTTCTTTGTTATTTTCATGATTATTCTCTTCTTCTACAATATAGCCAGAATTGAAATTAGGCGATGGTCCAATCGGTGTGATATGTGCACCGACTAGAGAATTAGCACTGCAAATATACAGTGAAGCAAAGAAGTTAGCTAAAGTGTATAATTTAACAGTTGTCTGCGCTTATGGTGGTGGTAGTCTATGGGAACAACAAAAAGCTTGTGAAGCAGGTTGTGAAATTCTTGTTTGTACTCCAGTAAGTCATATCTTTACTTTTATCATCTATGTTGGTATTTATTTGCATGAATATGTATATATTTATATTATTCGATTCCTCTTAATGTACAGATGAACATTTTGATATCAACTTAGGTGTCATCTTCGGTATGGATTGTGTAACAGGTTACATTGATATATTGTTAGTTAGTATTGTGACGATAGGGTGAGATAAGTTACAAACCTTATCATCATCAAAATCAACATAGAACCAAGGATGACTACGTGATGGTTTAAATTGCCACACCTCTAATCAACACACCAATTAACAAAGCGGTAAGATGAGAGATGAAAAAAGACAGGAAAATCTGTTAGAAGTAGTAGAAAGTAATAAAAGAAAGGAAGGAGGAATGAGATGGTGAGATTAAGTAGACCGGTCAAGATGATAATATATGGCCATACAACCTAGAGCAACCGGCTAGTTTTCATAGCTCAGACCAACAGTCATTGATACCATGTCTTAGTCTGGACATCCTGAGCTTTTCTCCAGCCTGAACCTGCTTCGGCCAACATAGTGGAATGAGGCAGACGGTGACTAGGCATACTTAACACATGTCGCAGCCATCTCAGATGATGAAGGTTCATAACAGCATCGGCTGTCTCATTTCTCCCTGAAACTCCACGTCCGATTTCTGCGTTACTTATTTGCTGACACCACATCACACAACCTATGCTACTAAAGCAACAGTGGTCAAACACGTAAAACCTTCTCATGTCCTCTACCTTTAATGGGGATGTTTCGCAGGGATACAATAGAAGAAAGCTGACTGCAGCACAGTACACTCGGTCCATAATAATAATTATTATTTTTCCCTTTGTTCTCTGAAATCTTTTGAACCTGGCTCCACGACAGCCCATAAGCTCTCATTTCCTCCTCGCACGATCTCCTCCATGTCACCCTCACCTCAGACGCCCAACTCGTCGCTTCCCATCGGGGTTCCACTCGAGGACCTGACCTGACGCGTGATGTCCCCAGTCAGCCTTCTCAGTGTATGCCCAATCCATCTCCACTTCCTTCTACTGCATATTTGTTGAGCGATGGATTCTTGGTTGGTTCCTTCCCAGAGTTCTTTGTTGTTTATTCTTTCTGGCAGTCCATCTGATCTTCAGTAACGAGCCAGCAGCGTAGGTGGCAGTTGTTGATGAGTGTCTGTAGCTTGTTGGAAATGCCTTTCGTAAGGCGCCAAGTCTCTGAACCATACAGAAGCACTGACTTGACTGGGTTGGTGTTGAAAATCCGGATCTTGTTTTTGATGCTGAGTGCAGAAGATCTCTACACTGGTTTCAGGCTAATGAAGGAAGGCCTGTCTTGCTTTTCCAATCCTGACTGGCTTTGACATCCTGGTCAGTGCTGCGTGTAGTTGAAACAGTGCTTCCTAGATAGGTGAGGGAGGTTACTTCCTTTAAGTTTCTCCCGTTGATGGTGATTGGAGTTTGTTATTGTTGTTGGTGTTGTTGGTTGGGTATCTCCATCACCTCTGTCTTCTCTATATTCACTTGAAGTTGTATCTTCTCTGCCTCCTCTGCCTCTTCTGTCAACTTGTTAGTTTTCGCCTGTAGATTATCAAGTTTGTGTGACATCAGACACAAGTCATCATTGGCGAAATCCAGATCTCCTAGGTTCTTTTCTACGGTCCAGCCATTGTATCCCCCTCTTCTCACTCCCCACTGTTTTCTGCATGATGCAGTCAGTCGACCACAATCAGGAATATCATCGGTGATAGTAGGCAACCTTGTTTTACTCCTGTCACTTCACTTCACTTCAAAAGCATCACTGAGCTTCGCATTGTGAATTACGTGGCTGGTATGTGGCGTCTTCATATAGTTGTTGAATGAGGCTGATAAGTGTTTGTGGTATTCCGTAGTGTTGAAGCAGCTGCCTGCCAAATTAGTTGTCGTTCGACGTTGTGAAGGCCTTCTCGAAGTCGATAAAGTTGAGGTGAGGTGTAGAGTTGACTGGCATTGTGTACTCTGTTGTATGATGTGTGATGTGTGTTGTGTTGCAATTTGGTCTGCACATGATTTGTAGTTCCTGAAGCCTGCCTGTTCGGGTCGTAGTTTTGACTCCAGTGCATCGTTTAGTCTCTCCTGGAGGAGATTGGTTCCCACTGCATGAGGGCCTTTGATGCTATTGGGGACATCATGATAGCCACTGGAGAACTCAGTGTACTTTGCTCGTGGTTGTCGTCTGGGTGTTAATATCAGAGTAGATTATTGACTCCTCTGCAGTTGACAGTTAGGAGAGTCCACTCCCATTGCATGTGCTGTCGCAAATCCCAAGCACTTCAATGTGATACCTTCTCATCTCGTTTGCGATATGGGCTGCCTTGGTAGGTTGAAACATGGTGTGGACATTCCATGTCTCCACGTTTACTTTTGCTTTCATAGAGAGAGAGAAGACACAAAGGCCAATTGGCTTCTCTAAGGCAGGCTTTCACCAACCGGCGTGATTTCGCCTCTCCGATTCTAGCGAGGAGTAATTTTGTTATTATTTTTTATATTTTGTTTTTGCTTTGAAGTTTGTTTAGGGTTAGATTTGTTTTCTGTGGTAGGGTTGCTATCCGTATGCCCAACCTTTCCTCTTTACCCGGGCTTAGGACTGGCTAGTAACTAGTGAACTAGTTAACCAGGTCCATAATAGGCAATCGGATATCCCGAGGGCACCATAGATGGCATAAGTTGACAAACGCCAACTAAACCTTTTATATCGTTGCAGAGATTTCGTTGGCTACTGAGCAATGCATGAAATATGGACTGACTTTCCAGATGATTGAAAGTGACCATCACACTCAATCATTTCACTTTTTTGTGAGCCGGGGTACCGCTGAACATCAAATAAGTGAAAAGAGATTTTTTCGAATTACTGAAGCGTTCACATTTGGTGAAAGCAAAGATGTGTCGAACTTTATAGAAATCTGCCTTTTTTTTCAATGAAGCTAATCAGTTGGTTGTGATGAAGACGATACTACTTTCAATGTCTTATACTACAACGACTGACTGATGATATTATTATTACTTAGCATTTACGATTATTGCAATCCTGGGATTGTGTTGTTATGTAGTCCTATTCGAGATTTATTTATTGGTTTTACTTGAATCCAAGTGAGTGTTTTTCTCACTAGAGTTCGTACTCAGCAGCATTCACTGGATTTTTGAGTTTCAGTAAGTGTCGTTGACCAACACTGAGTCGAGAAGCGAAGTTAGCAACTTCAGTTCACCTCTTCAATTCAGCTGTAGGAAGCCTAAAACTTTAATAATCACATAACGGTAATAATGTAGATCCACAGTGGGTTATAACACCTATGACTCATGCATCGGTTGGAGAAGCCGACTTTCAACCACACTAGACATTGATTACTCCTAGATAGGATTTGCTGAAGTTTTAATAAAAGCCGACTAAGTAAGGTGTAAACATGAATACTCGCCGTTGTCATTTAATGATGTTTGCGCTGTATTGCAACTTGATGGAAGTGGGAAGTATGAAGTATTGGGTTCTGACCCGATAGGTGAATAATGAAGTCCCCACCACGAGACCAGATGGAGTCGTGGGTGAGCACTGCTGAGGAGTCCCATTCTAGGACGAAACAGCTAGCTGTCCAGGCTCCTACGTTTTCAATGGTTTTTCAACCGATGACAGTCCTTGACGAATGAATACCATCTTAGATTCAACAAACCTCTAAATTGAATATTAAAGTCTTATTGATCACAAGAACGATGTGGGGATTGCTGCGCTGTCCCATGGTCGACTAATTATTCCTTCATCTTATTATTTATTAACCTATGCATTGGGGAATGCATTTTTCCATCTTTTGTCTTTATACTCAGGGTCGATTAATTGATATCGTAAAGAAGAAGTCGACTAATTTACGCCGAGTCACATATTTAGTCTTTGATGAAGCCGATAAAATGTTCAATCTGGGTTTCGGTAAGTTTTTGCCTTGTTTTTCTGTTTGCGTATATATTACATACCGTTCTGTATTAATAAACGATAGTGAGTAGTAAATTACAAACCTCGAATTTGAGATATCTGTAGGTTTATCGCTATCAATAAGCAACGAAAGTAATGACAATGAGAAAAGTAGTGATATCCAGGAAGTTATACTGGGTGATGATTTAAGGTGAAATGAAAATTTGGACCGCGGCGGATTCGAACCAACGACCACCGGGTTTCCGACCTGATGCTCTACCAACTGAACTCAGTCTGCCAAACCACGTAGGCTATCTAAGATAGTCAAACGATATCTAGGAATGTTAAATGATGAACAAGATACTTTTGAATGGAATAAATACCCGAGTTGTGGACGAATATTAAAGGAAAACGTGACCATAGTACTCAATAATATTAAGTAGTGTAAAACTAAAGATATAAAAATAGAAGCGAAGTTAACATTACATAGGGTAAATAAAAATGAGTTAGCGAAGGAACTAGTAGAAGTTATTAGAACCAATTAATGAAATGTATTAAAAGTGTTTAGTGAAGAGATTTCGGGCTAGAAAGAAGCTGCACTGTTCAAAGCCCATTGAAAAGGCGCTTATTTCCGTTAACTACTGTCTTAATGGTTGATCTAGTTGGTTGAACAACAAAGTAACAAATCTTAGAATATGATAGTGAGACACCATTTACAGAGTAAGATCACGTCATTTTGTTTCGCACGATTTCCATCAACCTGAAGCAATAAGTAAATAATCTTTAATAACGTCTTAAGATAGTACTAGTTAGTGTTTTGAAGATTCCAATGAGGGAAAAAGCATTATACACACTTTAGAGTACAAAGGAGGAAGTCTACGTAAGGCGGAAGGTGAGGAATGATGAGAGTAGAAGCGGTTACGCAACCATGTAGAGACGTTATCTTAACAAAATGATAAGTGGATTAGATAAATTGTGGAAGTTATAAGAAACACAGTAATAATGAAACGATAGTTTGAACATTACTGAGAATGAGCATAAAACGTGAGGAGTGGCTATGAAAAGGCACTCATTACCTATGAATTGCTAACGGTTTCCTTTTGAACCTACAACTCCAGTTAAACTTATGGGATAATGATGGTTTCAGGAATTCGAAGTGACCACCAAGTTCACAGTCTTGAAGTTTCAATAATATATACAGACAAACAGAAAAAGTAACAATGGGATTGGTAATATCCCCAACCTTAGCAGATATATTTATGGATAGTTGGGAAAACATGGCTTTACAAAAGTTCAATCCTGCACCCGAGATATAGTGGCGATATGTGGATGACACACTTACTGTGTTGAAATCGGAACATATCGACAATTTCCTCATGCATATAAACCAGTAATAGACGCAATCCAATTCACTTACGAGGTAAAAAATGAGCAAGGGGAATTACTCATGTTGTTGCATTGTAGGACAGAACGAAGGACAGAAGTGGTTTGGATATTACCATCTACAAGAAACCTACACACTCTAATAGGTATCTAGACTTCAGGTCATCTCATCCAATGTCAGTTAAGGCGGGTTTAGTCAAATGTCGGAGTGATAGAGCCAGAAAATTGACTAGTCATTGTAAAGACTTCAACAAGGAATTGAAACACATAGAAGAAGCGTCAATAATTATTAATTATCCTCCACAGTTTGATGACAAATTCGTAAGAACACTTAAGGGAGAAAATGATAACAGTAGTAAAAATGAAAGTAATAAGGAAAACACGAGTGGAAAGGAGTTCACAGTCTCCATTGTGTTGCCCTATAAGGAAGCTACATCAGAAACTACACATAGGATTCTAAATGAAGCTGGAATTAGGGTGGGATTTCAACCTACAAACTCGTCAGAGGTTAGTTTTGTCGGCTGGCTTAAGGATCGGATGGATCCAATTAAGCTGAATAACCTAATCTAACAAATCCTATACAATGACTGTGAGGCGAAGTACATAGATTGAACTAGCAGGTCGAGGTCAGTTAGATTAGCGGAACATAAGAATTTAGCGAAATAGGATGAAAGACCCTGATAAGGTGAGTAATCTAGAAAAACACTCAACTCTCGCAATGTATGCATTAACACACAACCATACAAAAGGGTGGTTGGGATAAAACCTCTACATTCAAGTTCAATGTAATTAGGTAAGTAGAAAGATTGATTACTGAATCTTTGTTCATCGAATCTACACCCAGCCGACATATGTGGAATAGGAATGACGCAACACCTATGCCAGAGATATGGAAAACTTTACTACTAATAAAAACAAAGAATATGAGACGGGTGAGAGGACTATAAATATTAGATATGGAAAGGAGTGTGATTACATAGATAATGATTATGAGCAATAATAATTTGTGCTGGAAATATCATAAAGTAAATAATAGTGTCTCACTCACTGTATGTTATAAATCAAATAAACAAATCTAATATGGAAGTACATTCTACCACAGTGCTCAAGTTTTAAACTTATACATGATGTCGTTTGTCTGTTAATTACCGTGAAGAACTTCTTTGCGTCTACTTGTTGTTTATCATATATGTGACGAGCTATTGCACTGACGAATGTGAAAGGATTTCTTAGACATGTCCTGAGTTTACTCATAGTAGACACCCATCATTTCGTCCTATATACTTGTTTCGTTACGTAAGTATAGATTGATGAATATATTGCAAGTCAACGGAATTTGAAAATTCATCTGATATGAATTATGCGACTGAGTATGCTGTGTTTGACACATAAGAAGCAAGTCTCACAATGGGATATATCCTGAAGAGAGTAGACTTTTAATTCATTTATTGATTCATACCGTAATATGTTTTCATCTTGCCTTTACGGTAGTTCAGCATGAACTTCATTGAATAATCTTCATTGTGTTGATGTTATTCGATTAGGTGAAGTTATTTTCGCAGATTTTCTTGATAAGCACAATATCTTCATCCTTACTAAACCTCTTTTATAACAAGTTAGACAAATCTCTTCATATAGTTTTACGATAAGAACTCTTCTCTATTGTACCATTTTCTCTGTATTTCAAGCATTAGTCAAGAAAATTCACAATTTGCTTGAATATTATTGTTGATTGTATTTACATTTTGGTTAATTTTTACTGGATTTATCTATATGGTGATAGAATAGTATTGTTTAATATATTACATTTCGGGCACAATTATTCATTTAAAATGGAAATGTTGTGTTATTTTGACAACTTCAGAAGTCTTTCAAAGTAGAGATATTGATCTCTTTTATTTTTTTACAAATCTTTCCAAATTCTTTACCAACCAATTGAAAAGCCTCTATTATTCCAACAGCCAATCACTTTGCAACATGTGCTGACCAATCAGAATCGACCATGTAATTATTGAGGAAAATGGTATATTATCCTACAATTTATAAATCTATTTTACATAGGGGGAAGGGGTAACCAATTTCATGTTGTCTAGTCCTGAGTGGAGACTGAATCCTATCGATCATATTGCAGTGTGACCATAAGCTAGGAGGAGATCCGTAAAGTCGCTGACTACGACAATGGGTAACGCGGGTTCGAGTGTGAGACGGGACATCAGTTCCGTCAAGATTGCAGATGCGCCTTGCTGACGAGTGCCAACATGCACAAAACCTAGGTCGAACAGGGCTTTCCGGCCGATTACCTCCAACCAACTAACATCTACTAATGTGCACCGTGAGGCTGAGCCTCCTAGCTTGGTGGTCACATTGCAAATATCATCCATAGGATTCGGTCTGCATTCAAGACTAGACAATATGAAATTGGTTGCACTCCCGTGACCAATCAATACGATTTATAAATGTGTTTTACATAAGGAATAAAGGTATTTAGAGATTGTCAATAAGTTTATCATCTTTGAAACCATACCATTATCACTCATTGCCACCCACTCAAATGGGATCATATCACACCTCCTCGTGTTCTTTACAAACGTTTTCAGACGACTCCACATATTTTTGTGTATAATAATTTTCTGACCCACGAAGCGCTTCTTGTGAAAAATAGGTTGATAGGAGTAACCTATTTCAGATAGAAGAGATGAATATAGTGCCGTGAAAGTTTCATCATCAAGCTTGGTGACATCCTTAGAATTAACTTGATAAAGAAGTGAAGGATATTTGAATGTTATACGGATGTTTAGATGGTGTTAGCGCTGAGGAGGAGGATTTCATCAAGCCTGGCGGTGAAATGTTCACGACAAAATACCAAGGCTCACAAAATACCAAATCGCCATCAATCAGCTTTCTTCGGATTATTTTTTAATAATTCACTTTTCAATCCTTTCTCTTATATGTTCACTGTGATGATGCATTCTGAGTCGTAAAGGATCGGTTAACGTTAAACTCATCTTACTGACATCATGTTTGCTAAATACCTGTTTCTGGCACTTATCAACTTCTATCATCACCTCACCGGTGAGAGATGTCCTAACCAACTCATTAAAAGAAAAGTGAGTCGACTTTTGAATCCAACTCCATCTACGCTGGTCTGAGCAACCGGGCAATATCGTAAGACGTAACACAATTAGTATGACCCTTAGTGTGAGACTAATGGGGGGTTCACTTCCGTCCTACTAAATTCACGAATGTAAAACATGGTTGTTGAATGCAAAAGAGACGAAAAGATTAGCTGGAGCAATAGTGTACTGGGAAAGATGATTAGAGTATCCTGGTCAAGATGTGTGACACAAATCCACGACATCTGAGCTGTAGTTGGGAAAGTGTAGGCTATGTGATTGAAGACATGAATGGTGGTTAGATATTATAAATAAAATGACTTGCCATTGAACGTAGTTATCCATACTTTATCGTTTTGGAAATATTAAAACCCATTCAATCTCTGGTCACTTCTTCCTTCAATAGTATCGGAGGACATGAGAAGAAGGCTTCGGTCGGTTGATTACTGTTGCCTTTATAGCATAGATTTTGTGTCGCCTAACCATCACATTAGTAATTTATTATTATTTGTCCCTTGGGTTCCTAGTGGAACATAGGGCTTCACTAGCACGTCACCATTTCACTCTGTTCTCTGAAGTCTTTTGAACCTGGCCCCACAACTGCCCAGAAGCTTACATTTCTTCTTCACACCATTTCCTCCATATCACCCTCGCCTCGAACACCCAACTCTTTGTTTCCATTTGGGTTCCGCTCGACGGCCTGACCTGGTACATGATATTCCCAAACGATCTCAGTGCATTTCTAATCCAATCCATCTCCACCTTCTCCTGCATATTTATCGGGCGATAGGTTCTTGGTTGCTTCATTAACAGCCAGAGTGAGTTCCTTGTTGTTTATTGTTATCATTCTGACCATCTGATCTTCAGTATCGAGTGAGCGTAGGCAGCAGCTGTTGGTGTGATATACGTCTGCAGTTTGTTGAGAATGCTTTTTGTAACGCGCCGCCAAGTCTCTCAACCATCACATAGAAGCACTGACTCACTTGACATGACATTAGTGTTGCAAATCGGGATGTTGTTCACGCTTTATGTTGAGTGGAGTGGAGTGGAGTAAATCTTCACATTGATTTCAGGTTAATGAAGGCGTGTCTTGCTGTCTTTCCGGTCCTGGCTGCTTTGACATCCCTGTCTGTGCCGTCGCCTGTAGTTGAGACGATGCTTCCTTGCCTAGGTAGTTGTTGGTTGAGTATCTTCATCACCTCTGTCTTCTGTACGTTCACCTGAAGTCTCATGTTCGCTGCCTCTCCTATTAGTTTTCGCCTGCTACATTAGACATACATAAATCATCGGCGAGATCCAAATCTTCCTCTACGGTCTTTTCATCGGTCCAACCAGCCTATGCCCCTCTTCTCCCTCGTCACAGTTTGTTGCATGATCCAGTCCAGTCCAGTCTACCACGATCAGGAATATGATCGATGATAGTAGGCGGCAACCTTATCTTACTCTTTCCTGTCTTCAATCCAAAGGCATCACTGAGCTTTCCATGGTGAACCATCACATTAGTAATGCAGAGCTCAAACTCTGGAGTTTTAGGTAAAAGGGGGGTTATGTTAGTTGATGAGATTGTGAACTTTTCATCAACTGAAGAGGCGACTGGGGCATGTGTTGCGCATGTTAGCTGAAGTTTATATAGTCTCTAATTTTGTATAGGATGGTGTACACTTCCTGGCTGTAGTTGACGAGACTGTAGGTGATAATATGGTTGAGAATCGATGCCTGTTGTGCAGACACGTTCATACATTATCCTCATCTGAATTTCTTTGTTATTCCACTTCTCGTCGTATAACTTTCTACTATCTTGGTTACCGCCTTCTATCTTGATTTGATGATATGGGGAATGGCTTCACGGAGAACCACTACACAGTAATCCAATGTCGCATGCTAATACTGATTGACCGACTGACTTGTTGCATAATAAGTATTTCACCTTTCAATTATGAATTATTCCTATGCTTTTATTAAACAGGTAGTACTATGCTTATCTAATAGTGACTATTATGTATGTATGTATGTATTTTTAATAACTTTAGAGCCTCAGGTTCGTTCAATCGCCAATCATGTGAGACCTGACAGACAAAGTGAGTTCCATTGTTCAGTTCAATAAATGTTTCCCTGTTAATACTCTACTTATTTCCTTCATTCATTTATACCTGAAACGTATATTTTAAGAATAACGCTAGTGATGAGTTATCTTCTATTTAGTATTAGACGGTTGCGTTTTTTTTAATTGTTGTTTTTGTTTTTGTTGAAGTTTTGACTTTAAAAGCACTACATTGAATATTCCCATTTAGACATTTAGAAAAAAAGTGAAGAACTTGGGCACTGTGGTAGAATGTAATTCCATATTAGATTTGTTTATTTGATATATGGCGCACAGTGGTACAGTATTATTTGACTTGATTACGTTTCGAACATAAATTATTACTGCTCATAATCATATCAATGTAATCACATACTGACTCACAACTTACTCAAATAATCAAGGCATCGGTTGATGAAATCATATTAGGAGTGCAGTTATGCTTAACCTCGACAGTTTTCAAGTTTCAGGGAAAGATATATAGACAAACAGAAGGAGTAGCAATGGGATCACCAATATCCCCTATAGTAGCAGATATATTTATGGATAGTTGGGAAGATATGGCTTTACGAACATATAATCCGACACCTAAGATATGGTGGCGATATGTAGATGACACATTTACAGTGTTGAAATCGGAACATATCGACAGTTTCTTGACACACATAAACTCAGTAGTTAACGCAATCCAATTCACTTACGAAGTAGAAAATGAACAAGGAGAATTACCTATGTTGGATTGCAGAATAAAACGAAGGATAGATGGTGGTTTAGATACTACCGTCTACAGAAAACCAACACATTCTAACAGGTATCTAGACTTCAAGTCATCTCATCCAGTGTCAGTTAAAGCGGGTTTAGTCAAATGTCTAAATAACAGAGCTGAGAAACTCACTAGTCATTGTAAGGACTTAAATAAGGAATTGAAACACATAAAAGAAGCGTTAATAATTCATAATTATCCCCATCATTTTATTAAGAAATTCACACGGACACATAAGAAGCAAAATAATAACACTAATACAAATACAAATAATAGTGACAACATAAGTAGAAAGGAAATCAACACCTCTATTGTGATACCATACAAGGAAGGAACATCAGAAACCATACGTAGGATTCTCAACAAGGTTGGAATTAGGGTGGCATTTAAACCAACAAACTCACTTAGAGGTAAGCTTTGTCGGCTAAAAGATCCGATAGAACCAATTAAGCAAAATAATAAAATCTACCAAATTCCATGTAATGACTGTGAGGTCAAACTAGCCGGTCGGGGTCAGTTAGATTAACAGAACATAGGAATTTAGCTAAACATAGAACGGAAGACCCCAATAACCTAGAAAAACACTCAGCCATTGCATTACATTCATTAACACACAACCACACAATAGGGTAGGACAAAACCACTGTACTTAAGTCTAATATAGCTAGGTGGAGAGAGAGATTAATTACTGAATCTTTGTTCATCGAATCCACACCCAACACATGTAATAGGAATGACGCAACACCTATACCAGAGATATGGAAAACTTTACTACCAACCAAAAAACAAAGAAAAATCAGGTGACAGGACTATAAAATCAGATATCGAAAGAAGTGTGATTACATTGATATGATTATGAGCAATAATTTATGCTCGAAACGTAATCAAGTAAATAATACTGTATCACTGTGCGCTATATATCAAATAAACAAATCTAATTTAGAATAAAAGACTGAGCGAGCAATCAAGCGAAGAAATGTATATGCCTTTACAATTAGATCTTCATCTTCAGCTCTTCACTCATATCTACATGGTTTACAATTCAATCAAAATGCCATTCAACTGATAGAGGGTTGATGTTGGTGAACAATAATCATAGACATTTTAAGTAAGTCATAAAGATGATGGAGTAAATAATCAATCAAGCTATTCTTAGGTAAATGGAGTGATTTTTGATGAATGTTCAGTCATTCACAATAAGCGATTATGTAATAGTGAGAAAACGAATGAATGTTGATAGAAACAACAAGAGGGAGAGGAGGGAGGGAAGATGTGTAGAAAGTACTACTCGAAGTTACATCATGTTGACCAGTCATGGTAGTGAAAGTGTTTAAACAAACTCCTTTTGAGTACAAAGATTAGATTTGTCTGTTAAGGTTGATTGCAATTGCCTCTGTTATGTGGTAAATTAATTGGAATGTGATGAATAATTTTTAAACCTTTTCTAGTATCCCCTTGATGTCCCATGTTAACTAGTGTGCAAGTATGGAGCTCTTTATTATTTTAATTTGTCTATTGCTCAACCATGATGGGTGGTGCTTAGAATTTCGACGATTGTCATGCCTTATTGTACGCTCAATGTAACTAGCTTCGTAGGAGCAGTTGAAGTGATAAATGCACATATAAGTGGCAGAATCAGGCAGTTTGTCTTCATTTCTTGCACCTAGAATTGCGTATTTGTAGAAGATGGGACAATTTAGCGGCTAGGAATGCTTTATGCAAGACTCGTTTTATGAGTTGTGTGATTGATCTCACTGGCAATGTCACTCTTAACTGTCAGCTTCAAGAAGATTTGCTTCTTAGGAACTGTTGGCGTTCTTGTCTTAACCCTCGTAACATTCATATACTCAGTCACAAACTTGTCTCGACAGCTATTCCTACTAAGCAGATCATGTATGATGACGAGCTCTTCTTCTATAGCATCATCTGAGCAAATAGGTGTGGCGAGGTATGCTGAACATTTCTCTAGGTTCTTTTTGAATTGCAGGGGTACGGCACTAAAAAAATGTGTGTATTAACCTGTCGATGTTGGTTTTCTATAAACACTTCGTTTCAGATTTCCATCTAACCTTCTTACCAACAGAACATCAGGGAATGGGATACTGTAATTTTTCTCCTCTTCCATTGCTGGATGAACACTACACTGAACTTATTGAGAACAGCATCAATCTCACTTTTGAGAATGATAAAGATATAATTTATGTAACGACAATATAACTCTCGACGGCCAATAGTTTCATTCACTGGATTATTCTCTAGTTTTGCCAGAAAAAAATCTGCTAAGAATGGGCCAAAGGGTGATTGAATCGTAAAACTATATATTAGTGTAGAGCCCAAGATGAAGTCCTAATTGAAAAGGAATATGCATTTCTTAGCTGTCTCAATAAGTCTTTTTTTAAAGGACTAGTTAACTCCAGATTTTTGTTGTTGGAATATTCATGAATGTGTTGGACAAGTTGTAGAAGTTTTTTTATTATCTACTGAAATAGTTATTTATCTGCAATACTACTCAGCTCAGACTGTGGTGTGATGGTACACTGTTGTTTTAAGGTGAATAGTTCCGTTCCATCATCTGGCCATCAATAAATGAGGTGAGTTGCTACTCTATTGTCCAACTATACAACCTCAACACTTTTAAAGCTAAGATATAGAGTTGTAGGTAAGGGAAGTAAGTCAACCAATAAAAAAAACTGTAAATTTCCATCGACTGATATGAATGAGATATGTACTACGTATTCCGCCAGTGTGTATGTGTTATATTTACTAGAGTAGACCTAGATTGAAGGAAAGACGAGATTGGTTAGACGAAACAATAACACAAATACAATGAAGTCTGATGGACAGGACAGGTGAAATCAACGTGAAACTACGCACGCAAGTGCATCGATTCAAGTTGCTACACTTTGCACTACTACACGAAGATCAGGTTTGGTAGTGATATCAACGTAGACCAAGCTATATGACAGAATAAGCAATTTGAAGATAAAGAAAAGAGAAAACAATCAAGCTTTAGAAGGCATCTACGCCATTGTGGTTAATTTCCATCCATATCACCAAGAGTTCTCAACGACTGATTCCTGTCGTCTCGGGGACCCAAACGAGGTAGTCTACATGTCCCCATACGCCTCAACCAAGAGTCACATACATAATCGACTGGCACCGCGTCTTGGTCTCGCCATTCTGTGAACTTTCTTCCAATCTGATCCAACTTCTCCTAGCATGACACATCGAAGCAGGCAGTGGCTCGGCATGCAGAGCACATGCCCAAGTCATCTCATTCGACTAAGGTTCTCAACCAAATTGCTTATTTTTCCTCGTACCCTTCATTAAACGTGAGCAATGTTACGAAGACATCCCTGATCAAAACCCTGTAACGGCCATGTTTCAGCCGCATAACTGGAAGGAGCGGAGTGCGGCCCAATATACTTGTCCTTTGATAAGTTGTCGGATATCTCACCAATCGGCGGCAGAAATGACCCAAGTAGCCAAACGCCAAACGAACCTTCTGTATCCAAAATGAGATTTCGTCAGCAACCAGCCCATTCGCCGGGTTGATGCAGCTCCCCAAGTAAATGAATTGATGAACACATTCCACCCCATGATTCCCTATCATTAAACTGAAGGTGGTTGTAGACCAGTCCTAGAGCGTTTTGTAGAACAATTTCGTCTGCATATTCCAAGTCAACCAGATAACTTTCACAAAGAATGCTAGTAGAATAACTTATTCATATCGGGGAATAAAACTGCTGTGCACAAGGAGAACTTTCGAATACGTCTAATTTTGCAAAGGATGAGTTCTGTAATATCATGCTATTGCTAAATGGCTCATTGGAATCCTTCAATTACTTTGAAACCAACTTAACAGTTAGACTAAATTATTGATTAACGTCAGTGTAACCAATTTCATGTTGTCTAGTTAGTTCTTAGTGCTGACTAAATTCTATCGATCGTTTCTCATTGTGACCACTAAGCTACAAGATTCTGTATCACGGTGCACTTCGATTGATGTCTAATGGTTGAAGTCAATCATTCGAAAATCCTGGACAATCGTCAGTAAGGTATCCTCTGAGAGATTGCTTCAATCAGTGTGCTGGTGCTGTCAGACACGTTACCACTGAGCTATGATCGATAGAAGTTGATCGGTGCTTAGGATTGAAGAACATGAAACTGGTTACTCTCCAACCACAATATATCTAATCCAATCGGTTTATGAGGTCAGTTGCGGTTCAAATAACGTCTTTAACTCCAGCAGCAGCACATTGAGTGATATGAGTTCGAATTTCAGGCAAGGATGTCCGGTTCATTGAGATTGCAAATAAGCCTCATTGGCAATTACTAACAGCAAACACGAGAAGCCTAAGGGACGCAGAAAACTTCCTATCGGCTTGCTTTCGGTGAAGAGATGACTTTGCTAGATATTCCCTTTTTTCTCCTCTTATTTTAACAATTTTTTTTTTGGGGGGGGGTGTGTGTGATCAATTGTTCACATTCATGTTCTCATTTAAATCATGAAATATTTACAGCACTTCTATTCAGCGCCACATTTAAACGGCGATTGGAACGATTGGCCAGAGATATTCTGGTAGATCCTATTCGTATAATACAAGGTGAATTGGGTGAGGTAGGTGAAATTGAAGTTGAAATTATGAATATTCAATAAAACTCTCTCTCTCTATTATATATATATATATATATATATATATATATATACTCACTACTGAATTAATAATAGTAAGATTTAGAAGAAGTATTCATCATGAACTGATATCAGTTGGGGGACCATTAAAAATTTGGGGGGCGTGTTCGCCGTGAAACCTGAAGGTCCTAGCCGTGTCGTGGGTGGGCACCGCTGAGGTGTCCCATACTAGGACGAAACAGTTGTCCAGTACTCCCAGATTTTCAGTGATTCCCCAACTGGTATCAGTCCGTGATGAATACTACTTCTAAATTAAAATCCCCATTCATCTCAAAAATATACTACAATAATATAATAAGATTTTTTATTTGAACACACTTCGAGGAGAAATTACACATTCTTGCTTAAAGTCTTATCAAGTGCGACATTCAGGCACCCCATAATTCTAATGTGGAAACACACACTAAGTGGTGGGCGTTGTGTGTGTATGTGTGTGGAGTGGTATTGGAAGCGATGGATTCTTGATTCAAGTCCCGTTGGAGTACAGGTAAATACAGGTGATAAGTTCCCAAATTACGACGATACATGCGTCCAGGATTCCACTACTAGTTTGTACTAAGTCAACTATTATTATTATTATTTGTCCTTTGGGTTCCTAGTGGAACATAGGACTTCAGTAGCATGTCGCCATTTCACTGTTCTCTGCAGTCTTTTCAATCTGGCTCCACGACTCCCCAGAAGCTTTCATTTCTTCCTCATACGATCTCCTCCATATCACACTCCCCTCAGACACCCAACTCGTCGTTCCCCGCTTGGATTCCACTCGATGGCCTGACCTGGCGTGTGATGTCCCAAAATGAGCGGGATTCTGGATTCCACTGTTAGCTATCACCAAGTAAACTATATCATAATAAAAATCCAGGCAGTATCGAAGCATCTTCATAGGAGCCTATCTACAGAGGGACAGACCTCAAGTAACTTGACTCAGTATAGCACCGAGCAATAAACTAACCGAGACTTCAGGTTCATGTTCACTATGGACTAACATCAGTTGGAGAAAGATTGGAAACCTAGGAGCACTAGACAGCTAGCTGTTTCTTCCTAGTATGACTCCCCAGCAGTGCCCACATGTGACCCCGCCTCACTAGAAATCGAGCCGTGACCTTCAGGTTCCACGGCCTCCACGTTACCATCGAGCCGCCGGATGGCAGTCCAGTGTTCCATATTTCCTACTTCTAACAATTCACAATATAGCGTGACCTCATTCAATGTCGCCGTTGAGTTACTGTCCGCATGTTCGACTCCGTTAACCCCACCGGTCATGACTTCTCATTGCAACTTCTGAAATCACCTCTTGAAGCTAGTGGTCACCTATGAGCACTAGATGTCAGTCCATAATGAATACCAACTTGAAACCAAGAGATCCTCATAAAACCTCCAAATTCAATTAATCTAGTCCTCGTTGGTGACTAGCTTCAAGGGAGGTGATTCCTGAAATTCCAGTGAGAAGTCATGACCGGCGGGGTAAACCTGGCGGACATGAGGACTTATACTCAACCGTGAAATTGAGTGAACTGATAGAAGTTGGAAACTGTGTGTCATTAGATTCTGACCCAGTGACTCAATGATAACGTGCTGGTTGTTAAACCCGAAAGTCCTGGGTTAGACTCCTGGAGGATGGGGGTCATAGGTGCACACTACTGAGAAGTCCGACACTAGGAAGAAATAGCTGCTGTTCAGTTATTCGAGATTTCCAATGTTCCTCCAACTGATATCAGTCCATAATCAATGAATAAATACATACACACCCCAACGAACCTCCACATTATTGAAATAATTAATTTTTTAACTTTTTCTCTAGGCTAATGAAGATATAACTCAACATGTTGAAATTTTCAATAAGATAGATGAAAAATGGGATTGGTTAACACGAAATCTAGTTCGATTCACTACTGGTAAGTAAGGCGAATATCTTTTAAACGTTATAATTCTGCTTATCTGTTAGTCGAATAGATTATTATTATTATTATTAATTGTCTCTTCAGTTCCTAGTGTAACATCAGTAGCGCGTTGCCATTTCACTCTGTTCTCTGTAGCCTTTTCAATCTGGCTCCACGACTCCCCAGAAGCTTTCATTTCTTCCTCACACGATCTCCTTCATATCACACTCGCCTCAGACACCCAACTCGTCGTTCCCCGTTTGGCTTCCACTCGACGACCTCGCCTGGCGCGTTATGTCACGAAACGGTCTTCTCAGTGTGTGTCCAATCCATTTCCACTTCTTTCTGCACATTTGTTGGGCGATGGGTTGTTGGCTGGTTCGTTACCAGCCACGGTTCATTGTTGCTTATTCTCATTATTTTGGCCATCTGATCTTCAGTATCGAGTGAGCGTAGGCAGCAGCTGTTGGTGTGATGTATGTCTTCAGTTTGTTGAGAATGCTTTTTGTAACGCGCCGCCAAGTCTCTCAACCATCACATAGAAGCACTGACTCACTTGACATGACATTAGTGTTGCAAATCGGGATGTTGTTCACGCTTTATGTTGAGTGGAGTGGAGTAGATCTCCACATTGATTTCAGGTTAACGAAGGCCTATCTTGCTTTTCGAATAGATATAGCAACAAAAGCAATCAATCAGTATACATTAGTCAGTTAAAGGTAATCGGTAGGATATACCCTGGGCTCATCTAGGTTTCTTGTCGATTATCTCCAACCAATTATAACACTTACACATCAAAGTGCACCGCAATGGTGAGTATCCTAACCCATGGACCACATAGCCAAATGATTGATAGGACTCAATCAGCACTCAGAACTAGACACTATGAAAGTGGTTGTTGTCCGGTGACTAATGACTGTATAGTGGTGGTTATTTTCCTCCTGAGGAATACCTTTAGAAGTTATGGTTAACTGTAGATTGAATAATTAGGTACTGAATACAGGTGTGGGATCAATTCAAGTTGCCATACACTTTATCACAGCATCATACCAAAGAACAGATGGATAGAAAAAACAGTGATGTTGACATGATAAATAAATTGATAGCGATCAAGGGATAAAATATTCAAAAACTTATTATGATGACAAGAAGTGTATACATCTTTCAGCGTTGCGATTGGTTTTCATCATCAAACACTAATTCTCATCGTGTTGAGGACCTCAAACAGACATCCTTCACCCCTACCTACGTGTCGATGAGATTAAAAATCATCGATGCACAATGCTGTGAAGTTCCATACTAGGAGAAAACAGCTAACTGACTGTCCAGTGCTTCCAGCCTTCTCATGTTCCTCCAACACATGTCAGTCTATGATAAATTTTAACCTAAAACCAAAGAATCGATGGCTTGGTAGCATGTCTTTGTTTGACAACCCTTACCTTTCTTCCCGCCTAAACGTACTTCAGCTATCATCGCAGTGCTAGGTCAATGCGCAAAACACATTCAAGCCACCTCAGTCGGTTAAGGTATGCAATCGCGTCGACTGATTTAGTGGATACGAGTTATACTTTGAAGATATCTATGACCTACAGTGTTGGACATGGTAAATACTTTATCCTTTGTTTTTATTCTCATCATCCATCCAAATCAACATAGGACTAGGCATTACTGCGTAGCGGTTCAACTTGCCATACCTCATCTCATATCACCACATCAAGTAAAAAGGCAGTGAAGTGCAACCATGAAGAAAACAAAATTCAGTCAAAACAAATATAAAGAAATGAGAGAGAGAGAGAGAGAGAAAGAGGACGAATGAGAAAATGGTGAAATTCGGTATAGCGTCGTTAAGATGAGGATAATATGTATGGGGATACATTTGCGCCACTGACATCGGTTCTCAGCCATGTGATCACCTACAGTCAGTCTCCAACCACTCGTTCCTCTTGTCCTGCTGACCCCAATTGGCTAGTCTACATCGTCCCACATAACTCAAACCAACAGTCAGAGACTTCATACATTGATTCCATCCCATGTTTTAGTATGGCCACCTCGGGCCTTTTCTCACCCTGAACCTACTTCGACAAACATTGCATGACGAGGCAATCGGGGACCAGGCATACGTAAACACGTCAGAGCCAACCATCTCAGTCCATGAGGATTCACAATCTCATCAACTGACTTATCTCTACTCCCTAAAACTCTACATCTGACGTCTGTGTTACTCACGTGGTGGTACCACGGAATACGGCCTATACTACCAAGGCAACGATGGTCAAACACCTGTAGCCTTCTCATGTCTTCCACCTACAATGGTCATGTTTCACAGCCATATAGTAAAATAGAGCTAACTGCTGTGCAGGTGCAGTACACGCAACCCTTAATAAACAATCGCATATCACGGAGGTGCCATGGGTGGGGTAAGTTGGCGACAGCCAAACGAGTCTTTCATATTCGTGCCGAGACTTCATCGGCCACTGAGACACCAGGGCTGATCCCACTTCCTAGTCAAGTGAAGTGGTCGACACACTCAACCACTACCCTCTCTATTGTTAGCCACGGTGGTGCACCGTTGAAGATCAATCCAGGAACAGCGATTCGCATTTGGGTGGTGAGAAATGCATCCCAAACATTCTCAAATTGCCACTCAAAGTGTTCAAAAGGTTCTGCATCTTGTCAACGTCTTCACTTAACAGGACTATGTCATCTGCATATTCTAGGTCTAACGAAAACTCTCCTGTGATTAGGTCAATCTCTGTGTAATCGGGTGACGAGAGGGAAACCTCCATGAGAATGTCTATGATAAAATTGAATAAGAATGGAGACAGTGGGCACCCTTGATGTACACCACTCGATGAGCATAGCTCCCTGGATATCTCACCATAGGCTGTAACACGTCCGCAAGTGTTCGAGTAGAGAGCCTTAAATGAGGTGATTTACGTACTCGGCACACCATTCAGTGAGAGACTTCTCGACCAACGGAATCAAATGTCGCCGGGTCTAAATCCTGCCTGCCTGGTTTTCTCGGGCTTGCTGTTTTCGAACTCCACTCAGGCGTCGGAGAATTATAGAACCTACGATCTTGGACACTATGTTCGTCAGGCTGATTCCTCTGTGGTTATCGCAAGAGGACTTCTCGCCTTTCTTGAAGACTGGAATGATCGTTGACTCAGACTGGTCAGTGAGGACAGTATTTGATTCCTATATACTGGTTAACACTTCCGTTAACCTATCTAAGAGCACCTTATTACCACCATCCTTGTATACCTCTGGAGTTAGTCCGTCTGGTCCTGCCACCCTTCCTCATTTCAGGTTACCTACCGCTTTCTCGACTTCTGCTAGTGTTGGCGGGCCTATCTCAATGTTCCATTTAGGATCCGACTGTATACCGGGCAACGTAATGATGGCTGGAGGTCAGTTAAACTGCTCCTCGAAGTGTTCTGCCCATCATTCCAGTCGTCTCCCCTGCAAGTGAATCGCAGATACGTCCTTCTCTGCTATAGCCTCACTAACTGTTGTTGACCTTTCCCCCCAGTCTCCTTAATAAGTGTAAATAACTGTCTACTGTTACCAATCGCCGCTGCTTTTTCCATCTCTTTAACGTTTGTTGTCCACCACTGTTCGCAGTCGTCGCGTAGACTTTTTCTCAATCTACTTTTAAGTTGCGTTCGCTCTTCATTGTACTCAGAGCCTGCAGGGATGCATTCACGTGCATCCATTAGTTCGGAAGAAGCTAATGATATCCACTGGCTCATTTTAGCTACGCTTTCGGAGTCGGCTACAGTCTTCAACGCTGCTTTTACAGCAGACTGGAGATGGCACCAAGCTTCTTCTGGATGAGTGATAGTGTTCTGTTTTGATAACTGCCTAGCCAATTTTTCACTGAAGGCGGCTTTGGTATTTTCGTTGTTGAGCTGCACTCGTAGTAGTTTTGTTGCCAAATTTTTCTTACATCAATTGAGACGTAGGCATATACGTGCTCGGATCAACGCATGGTCGCTATCCAAACACGTACTCCAGAAGGAGCGGCAGTCTTCCACCGATCCTCTCCAGCGATGACTAATAGCAATGTGGTCAATCTGTGTCCATTGCTGAGTTGAGCTCGGTGGACACCACGTCAGACAGTGTCTTTCTTTATGTCTGAAATTTGTGCTAGCTAAGAATAGGCGGTTATCTGAGCACCGTTGTAGTAGGCGATCACTGTTATCTGTACGTTTAGCCGGGATTCGGAAAGCGCCATCTAAGTAAGTGCCTTTATGCCTCACTCAGTCTACCCACTTGTGCATTGAAGTCACCTGCAACACCCACCAGGTTCGAACGTTTGGCTTTCGAGAGAAGGCTAGACAGTTTACGCTAGAACTCGTCCTTCACTTCATCCGAACTGCAGTCAATGGGTGCGTAAGCAGAGATTACAAAGAGACAACGCCGAGTTTCACTATTCCTTTTAGTTCTCACCGTGCAGTTCAGCCGCATAGCGCAGAGGCGACTATCAACTGGGATTCAGTCTAATAGTGAGTTTTCTGCCCTAGTGCTTAGTGCTATGCCTACACCTGCAAGACCACGAGAGCTAGCTATCGAATCTCCAGAAACTCGAGGGGTGAATTTCATGGACTCACCAGATTGGTCAGGTGAATAATCGCGCCTATGTCCTGTATGCGTGTCTCACAAACACAGCAAACATCCATGCCTCGAGTTGCTAGAGTCTTTGCCAACGAAGCCTGTTGACCAATTTAATGGAGGGTGTGGACATTGAAGGCTCCAATATGTAATTTGGAGCGTGGTTTAAGGAGACCAAGGATGTTGTTTTGTGGATTCAGATGGTTGTTGAAGGTTGCAGAGGTAGGAGAAATTGAAAATGATGTAGTATCGTTAGTTGAGAGACGTGAAGGAAGATTAGAAGGTAATATTGAGGGATGTGGATAGCAGTCTGAGGAAACTTGGATGCTGATCGAGTTGTGAGGGCGGTTGACACTTCTCGTCTATCCACACCATGGAAGGCTATTTCTTCTTAAGATATCTGAAAGAGATTTGTGTGACCACAGAGTCCATCGGACATCTGCTTGAGGCCTGTCACACATAGCCTCTTGAGTACGAGTATTTTGAACTTCTGTTGCTTTGGGGTTGGATGGTCTAAAAGAAACGACAAATGAACCAACACCGCCGACCCGGTAGACCGTGGGATATGGTGGAGTGTATTATTTTTTGGGCCGACGTTTTCTAACCCCCACCCCACCCCTGATTCCACTGAGAAGGCAGCATCAGCATGGTACTGCTGACCATCCAAGGGAAACACCTGACTCCTGTCATACCGTATCCAGCTAGCAGCAGTACGATTCGCCGTCAGACCCCCATCATAGTGTGGCAATTCACACCACAACGGTAACTGCTTTTCATCTCACCACTACCCAACAGACCTTTCTGGTATGGTAAGACCTCGATGGAACAAGTGTTGCATCAGCATAGCTCGTTGGGTGATTGTGATATAGAAGCCCGACCACCACGTCAAGGTAGCGGCTCTTGGCCATGATTGTATGTACAAGACGCGACGTCAAGCAACCTTAGGAGGTACAGGCGATACAGTCCCACCAACCGATTCATCTTTCTAATCTGATTCGTTTGATATTTGTTAACTTGTGTCATCTGTGGCACTGACTGATGAAATATCCAAGTATTATGTATCAAACGACGAGTATACTGTGCTTCAGTCCAGTCTGTCCTGTTATGTGGCTGTGAGACACGGTCGTTAAAAGTAGAAGACATGAAGCAGTTGCAAGGTTTTGATCGTATGTGTTCTCGTAGCACTGCTCGTGTTTGTTGGAATCACTGTATGAGAAATGTTGAAGTCAGGTGAAGTGTAGTAGACAAGACAGGTGGTTTGGACACGTGTTGTGTATGCCAAGCGACCATCCTCCTCGATGCGTAATAGATGAGGGAACTGGATTAGGCTATATGATGGTCAAACCCAAGACCTGGCAGTAGTCAATGTAGTCCCTGACTGTCGATTTGGACTGCCTGGTTGAGTTCCCTGAGACAACAGGAATCAGTGGTTGACGGTTGTTAGTGACATGGCGTAAACGTTTTCACTCCTGGACGTAATCTAAAGCTTGAATATTTGCACTAACCATTATCTTCCGGTTGTTTATTCTCTCACTCAACTTTGTCTCCTTAAATATCACTCCTTATATCTGTTCATCTGCTTTTTGTGTACCACGGTGGCAAATCGAGTCGGTGCAGTCGTGTGTGAGGTTCCACGTAGATTTTGTCTACCTGGAACTACCGTTTCGCTCTAACTCCTTTTTAGTTGGTGGTTTCACTTTTCTTGTGATGATGATGCATGGCTACTCATCCAAAGGGATCTTTACTGAGGACCATATCGGGAAAGGTAAATGAATAAGGCAGGTATAATGTGTCATTTTTTACTTTGATGATATTAGGCATGTAGAAAATTACAGTTTTCTTAGTGGTTTACAACAAACAGAAATTCACTTAGTTACTGATCAATGTCATATTGTATATGGTCCGAAGTACTGATCGAATTTGTAGTGTTCAATCAGAAAAGTAGAAGACTGACTGACCATCTTACTAAACTTCGATTAGTGTTGAGTTGTTGGCAGTATTCAAGTGATTGTTGGTACTTATCAATCAACTGAAACCTTTGTAGAGAGAGAGAGAGAAACAGAGTTCGTCTCCTCAATGATCTGAACTCTGATCATCCAGCAATACAGTTGCTTAGATGAAGAGAAAAACTTGAGTACTGCAGTGCATCTATGACATAATCCTATAATACAATCGAACAGAGTAACAATTCTTGTATTTCATTCTTTCTTCCATGTTACTTTGTGATTAGCTGACCAATTTGAATAAGCTATTTAACTGTTGACCTACTGGTTTTATAAGGCTTCAGGTGTTTGACCATCGTTGCCTTATAATCATAGGCTGGTCTTCGACTTCTGATATTTACGCCTCTCAATGAAGTATGCGGTACTGTGGAAGAACAGTCACCGTTTGTTTCTAGTTCAAGTGTTTCATCTTTCGCGTATTTATTATGATTTTCATTCGATCACTCCTGTATTGTTCACCCGTATTATAACCGTTGTGGGATATATTCCGACAAGGTGGTCCATTCAGAGTTGTTCCCCCTTTACATTATTCACTTTCTGAGGCTTATGAGAATTTATTGACCTCATGTTGGTATTCATCCTAGACTGACATCAGTTGGGCGAACATTGGAGACCTGGGAGCACTGAACAGTTAGCTGTTTCGTCGTAGTATGGGACTGCTCATCAGTGTTTACCCATGACCTCGCTCTCTAGGGATCGAATCCAGGACTTTCAAGTTCCATAGCCTCGACGTTACCATTAAGCAAACGGGTAGCAGTTCAGTGGCCCATATTTCCTACTTCTGTCAGTTTACGATATAGCAGGACCTCCATCTAATATCATCGTTGAGTAACTATCCTCATGTTCAACTTGGTTGGCTACATTAGTCACGACTTCTGCATGGAACTTTGGAAATCATCTCTCGAAGCTAGTCACCAATGAGCACTAGACTAAATGACTTTTAAGGTTTTTGGGAATTTATTAACTTCAGGTTGGTATTCAATAGACTCCGACTCAGTAGTTCAATGGTAATGTGCTGGTCGCGCGAAACCTCAAGGTCATGTGTGTGTGCACACTACTTGGACGAAACATCTTTCCAGGTTTCCAATAGTTCTCAATGTTGAATCCTAATCTGAAAGGAATAATATGAGTAATTAGAAAGTACTTACACTGATGTAGATTTAGTAATCTGTTAAACTATCAACTTATCTAGAAGAAATTGTATTCCATTGGTTAATCATATTTAAAAATTCATTAAAATACTCTTTTTTTACTTGATTTCCTTTTTCTAGAAGGAAGTGTGCTTGTTTTTGTTACACGTAAAATTCATAGTGAAGAAGTTGCACAAAAATTAAAATCACGTGATCTTAAAGTTCTTCTTATCCATGGTGATATGCATCAATCTGATCGTAATTCAGTTATACAAGCATTTAAACGTCAAGAAGCCCCAATTTTAGTCGCTACAGATGTTGCATGTAAGAAGTCTATCCTTTTCTTCTTTTTTTTCTTGTTCAACACTTTCTGGCGGGTAGAAAAGGGAAGATTCAATCTTCATTTATGCATAGACAACTGTGTGAACCATTGAGACGGGCGGGGGTAGAGAGAGAGAGAGAGAGAGAGAATGTGAATTATTATTCTTTTATTTCATTTCACACAGAATTTGATGTTATGTTGTGTTTGAAACAATTAGTCCCTTTTATGAATTCGAATAATGTAATTAGAAGACGTAGATTATCTAAATAACATGTGATGTATTAGCGCTATACATTTCGAACAATCTGATCACACATTTACTTGTCACAAGGCATTATATATGAAAACTGGAAGTGGGGGAAGGACATATATGACATAAAGGAATTCAATAATAAGAAAGATAATGAGAGGAGAAAAAAAGATAAGACTTGAAGACAATCTTGGTAATACGATAAAATAAGCATTACCAAGGTAGGCTTAATGTAAGGACAAACTGTTTTTGCACACACAATGAGGGGTTAAATTTATTTATGGCTAGCGCCTCAACAAACTTAAGTATACACCCCCTGACAGTTTCTGTACAAAAATTGTAAAGGCTGTCTTGATATCAATTCTGTGACTCTTATCAATGATATGTTTCGCAATAGATAATGATGGTTGTCTGCCATCTGGCAGGCAACCAGACAACCCTAAACTGTCAGGGGGTGTATACTTAAGTTTGTTGAGGCGCTAGCCATAAATAAATTTAACCCCTCATTGTGTGTGCAAAAACAGTTTGTCCTTACATTAAGCCTATCTTGGTAATGCTTATTTTATCGTATTACCAAGATTGTCTTCAAGTCTTATCTTTTATTCCTTTCATTATCTTTCTTATTATTGAATTCCTTTATGTCATATATGTCCTTCCCCCACTTCCAGTTTTCATATATAATGCCTTGTGACAAGTGAATGTGTGATCAGATTGTTCGAAATGTATAGCGCTAATACATCACGACATGTTTCAGATAATCTACGTCTTGTAATTACATTATGCTGTGTATTGCATCAAGTTTACTGATCTCTTGTCACCAAGATGAAAATAAACTATTCAAATACGAATAGTTTGATGATATTGTAGTGTATATGTTCAAAGGGTGGTAGAAATCATAGACAATTATCAGCAAATAGGTAAGGATTCTGTCCAGAGAAATGCAAAAGACAATGTGACGAAGGGGTGTGTTAAGAGTAAATCAAGATAGAAGCAGAAAAAGAAATGAAGTATATTATGCAAATGACTGTCTTAGTGACTACTGTACAAGATGTCAATGATAAACATTCCTTCCTTCGTCTATATCTTCTCATTTCCTTCATTTATTACTGTCTACTGGTGGTTTATGTGTACAAAGCCAGAAAACAAAATACAAAAGAATGGAAACAATATAAACAAGAGAAGAGAGTTTGAAAGTAATCAAGAATTTATGATGTGTAATAGTCAAGATAAAAATGTAGATGTACAGCTGAAATAAACAGTTAAAGACTTTATGGATTTTTTTCCCGCCTGGTCTACCTTCTTATTGCATGTCATAGACAAGCATATCATCTGAGTCGATGACGACTTACAACTTCATTAAGTGATTCTTTTGCCTCAGACTATTTAGCCTCTGCGTTATTCAAGTGTTTGTTTCACGATATGCAGGTATAATTCTGGCTGATACCTGCTGCCTTGATGTAGTGGTTGGACTTGGCAATGTTGGCAATGATCCAACAAGACGAAAAGCAGTTACCGTCATAGTGTAGATTGCTACACTAAGGTCAAAATCGTACTGCTGGTTAGCTGTCAGTGGTAGCAGTAGTGTCTAAAAATAGCATGCTCCTCCCTGTTCCACAGTCTCCTGGTGCCGGTGGTATGCTTTCTCTTTGTCTAACCAAATCTGAAAACAACAATCTGCAAAAGGCCGTGTATGACACGCCCTAAGCCAGCTGTTGTATAAAGGCGTTCCGGCTTTTTGCGTTTCAAGCGGTAGGTACTGGGTTCGATTGCCAACGTGAACAACACCACTCACTAAGGTGAAGGTGCATCCGGCTGAAGAGTCCCAACGCGCATCCTGGATTTCTGTACTACTCATCAACAAGAATATCTAGCAGTATCGAGGCATCGCCATTGGGTTGGACAAAAGCCATGTAAACTTAAGTACTGACTTGTCCAACTGGGTTTCTTGTAAATCGACCATTTTATTGAATAATCATTCCTACGACTTAGGGGTATGTCCAAGAATGGCAGACTGTAAATGTGTGTGGGGTAAGATTGTTCTAAATGTTTAGCGCAAATACATCACATATCGTTCAGATAATCTACATCTTCTAATTCATTCTTATTATATGTATGTCCCTTGGGTTCCTAGTGGAACATAGGGCTTCAGTAGCACGCCTCCATTGCATTCTCTTCTCTGCAGTCTCCTCAACCTCGCTCCACGACTGACCACAACCTTCCATTTCTTCCTCACACCATCTCCTCCATGTCACCCTCGCCTCGGACGCCCAACTCGTCATTTCCCTTTTCGATTCCACTCGAGGGCCTGGCCTGGCGCATGATATCCCCAATTGGCCTTCTCAGTGTATACCCAATCCACCTCCACTTTCTTCTGCATATTTGTTGAGTGATGGGTTCTTGGTTGGTTCATTGCTAAACAGAGTTCCTTGTTGCTTATTCTTTTGGGCCATCTGATCTTCGGTATCGAGGCAGCATAGGGAGTTATTGATGAATATCTGTAGTTTGTTGGAAGTGCTTTTCGTGACGCGCCAAGTTTGTGAATCATATAGCAGCACTGACTTGACGTTGGTGTTGAAAATCCGGATGTTGTTCACGCTTTATGCTGAGTGCAGTAGATCTTCACACTGATTTCAGGTTAATGAAGGTCTGTCTTGCTGTCTTTCCGATCCTAGCTGCTTTGACATCCTCATCTATGCCACCACTGCCTGTAGTTGAAAGGATGCTGCCTACGTAGGTGAAAGAGTACTTCCTTTAGGTTTCTCCCATTAATGATGATTGGTGCTTGTTGTTGGTTGGGTATTCTCATCACCTCCGTCTTCTCTACATTCAACTGAAGTCCCGTTTTCACTGCCTCTTCATGTCTTCTAATTCCATTACCGAAATTCATAAAAGTGACCAATTGTTTGAAATCAAAGGAAAGCAGAGAATCTCTTGCATGTTTACTAAATGCATATTGTATCTTCAGTAAGTGAATATCTGGAACTCATCAATCAGGTGCTTTGCTTGTTTACTGGGTAGTGAGCTACGTCGGTGTGCGAGTTAGTTATATTATCATCTAGCCACCTAAACCTCTGTGGACATAATAGGATTCAAACTGTCAACGAAACAGGTTGAAAACCTAATGTCCAGACTAATAATAAACCAGTGAAATCATCAGAAAAAAACTACTAATTTGGTAAAGAGAAGGAAATCTTTAAGAAATAAGTAGGAGAAGCAAGAAGCAACATGATCGGTTTATCATGATAGTGTCTTAAATTGCAATTTTTTAAATCGTCTACGGTGAAAGCTGACTAATCTTTGTTGTAGAATAAATTTATACTTAGTACAAATACACCACAGCTAGTAGAATACAACTGCACCTACAAATTCTAAGCAAGGAAACAAAATAATAAAGTTGTATAGGTTGGACGTCTTTTTTTGAAACACTCGTTCCCATGTGTTAACTACTGAGATTTGAAGAGTTAATGAAACGTCACTGTCTCACGAACTAAACAAGTTTCTTATATTAATCTTGGTGACTAGCACTGAGGCATAACTGATACCTGTTGCACAAGAGGTGGTTATTGTGCCTCAGTGGATAACGCTCTGGCGTTTGAAGCGAAGGGTACTGGGTTCAAACTTCAATGGGAGCAACATCACTCCGCACTGGGATGCAGGTACATCCAGGTGACGAGTGCCGAATAGGACGAAACGCGCGTCCGGATTTACTTACTACATGTAAAAGGATAAACAAAGATTGTAGATATATTTTAAAACCTCTATTATATATCAAATTGTGTATAAATGACCAATTTATCTACCTAGGTGATTAAATCTTATTGTTCCTCACATTTATGTTGTCTAAATCGAATTACTTCGCTTAACCTCCTTGGATGTTTTCCAGTATAAAATTGTTGCTTAAATATCTTCTTGAATAAAAAATAGCACGTGGTCTGGATATTCCAAGTATACACAATGTAATCAATTATGAAGTGGCACGTGATATTGACACACATATTCATCGGATAGGCAGAACTGGACGTGCTGGTGTAAAAGGAACTGCTTACACTTTATTTGTTGCTGGAAAAGATCCAGTTGATTTTGCAGCATGTTTAGTACAACATCTTGAATCTGCTTCACAAATTGTCCCACCAAGACTTTTGGATATAGCATTTAAATGTGGTTGGTTTTCAAATAGTCGATCTTCATTGAATTCTACAAGTGAAAGTGCTATTCGACTACCAAGTGGTGGATTTGGACCTCGACCTCCACGATCTAGGCCGGGATTAGGTTTATCCTCACTTGATAGCAATGAAATGAATAATCCACGTAGTGGCCCAGCTGCTGCTGCTGCTGCAGGTCATGGAGCTGAACTTATCCGTCCAGGTGGTAAGTATATACACTTTTATCATTCAAAATACAGAATTATTTACGTTAGTAATTCACAAAGCATCATTTTGTATTCAGTTTTATTTTTTTTTATTATGTACTGTAGACCTTCGATATGGCTTCACTAATATATGTGTACAACTTGGGCAATGCGGTAGAATTTAATTCTATATTCGATTTGTTTATTTGATGTATAACATACGTTGCTCATCATCATATCCGATGTGTTATCACACAGCACTTTCCACATCTCACTTTTAGACTCTTGTCATCTCTTATTCTTGGTTTTCATTGGTAATAACATTTTCCATATCTCTGGTAAAAAACTGTTGTGTCATTCTCATTACATATGTTGGATGAATGTTGATTCAATGAACAAAGATTCAGTAATCAATCCCCCTCTCCACTTATAATTACATTGAACTTCAATACAGTGGTTTTATCCCATCCACCCTCTTGTGTGCTTGTGTACTTGTTAATGCATCCATTTTGCAACAACTGAGTTTTCTCTCTACATTATTGATCTCATTCGGGTCTGTCATTCTATATATTTAGCTAAATTCCTATAATTCACCATTCTAACTGACACCAACCGGCTAGTTTGACCAATGTACTTGACCTCATGAAGAGGTAGAAAATCAACAAGGAGAATTACCCATGTTGTTGCACTGTAGGACAGAACGAAGGACAGACAGTGGTTTGGATACTACCATCTACAAGAAACCTACACACTCTAATAGGTATCTAGACTTCAGTCATCTCATCCAATGTCAGTTAAGGCGGGTTTAGTCAAATGTCGGAGTGATAGAGCCAGAAAACTGACTAGTCATTGTAAAGACTTCAACAAGGAATTGAAACACATAGAAGAAGCGTCAATAATTAATAATTATCCTCCACAGTTTGATGACAAATTCGTACGAACACTTAAGGGACAAAATGATAACAGTAGTAAAAATGAAAGTAATAAGGAAAACACGAGTAGAAAGGAGTTCACAGCCTCCATTGTGTTGCCCTATAAGGAAGCTACATCAGAAACTACACATAGGATTCTCAATGCAGCTGGAATTAGAGTGGGATTTCAACCTACAAACTCAGTCAGAGGTTAGCTTTGTCGGCTGGCTTAAGATCGGATCGATCCAATTAAGCTGAATAACCTAATCTAACAAATCCTATACAATGACTGTGAGGTGAAGTACATAGATTAAACTAGCAGGTCGAGGTCAGTTAGATTAGCGGAACATAAGAATTTAGCTAAATATATTGAATGACAGATCCGAATAAGATCAGTAATCTACAAAGAAACTGAGCTATTACAATGTATACATTAACACACAATAGGGAGTAGGATAAAACCGCCACTGAACACATGTAATACAAGCAATGACACAACACCTTTTTACCAGACATATGGGAAACTTTACTACCAATAAAATCAAAGGATATGAGGTGACGTAACTATAAAAATCGAATATCGAAAGTTGTGTGTGATTACACATTGAGATAATGACTATGGGCAATGATAATTTATGCTGGAAACTTTGTCATCAAGTGAATAATACTGTATCACTTCGAAATGGCGCCAATGATCAAATTTACTTGATAGCTAGAGAAAATTCCTCTTTTCTCTAGAACTTATCATAATACGTGGAAATCAGTGATTTCAGGTGATTTTTATTAATGAACTAGCTATGCAATTTTATGAAGATATAACTCATTGGTTTTAAACCCTTGAGTAACATTCAAAGAATTGGTCTTCAATTCAGGCACACCGTATTCTACGTACTTCAATCTTGGAAGCCAACTAGTATATAAGTCTGTACTGGATGTTTTATTGTAGTTCCTACTAATCATAAAGTATAGATTGGTCACACTGTTCATTTCTCATTCCTTACAGGTTTACAAGCAGATCGTTTCTCTGCAATGAAAGCTGCATTTACAGCTCAATACAATCGACGATTTGTATCCGCTGGTGTTGAAGCCAGTCGGTATACACATCCAGAAATGTTGAAGTCATATATGAAGAATGAGAAACCTCAAATGACTGAACAACAATATTGTCAAGCAGAAGAAGAATCACAATATCAACAACAACAACCACAAACAGATTCAAAACAGAAACGCTCTAGATGGGATTGACTGTATAAACGTACAATGTTCATATATTAAAAGAAACTGTATGAATTTCATGCATTTGCTTCTCGCTATCACTTCAATAACATAATAATATGCCGTGTACTTAACTATCAAATCAATTGATTGTTAGCTGAAATAATTCTGAAACGGTTTCCACTACGTCGTCGTAAAGTTTTAGAATGACACATAATGAATAAAGAACGAAACGATAAGGACTAATAGCAACTTCGTCCAAGTTCGTACACTAGGCAACGGAGTAGTCACACACACACACACCCTATTATGCAACGGCTAATAATATGACCTGACTATCCCACAACTCATTAAATGGAACGGTATTCGAACTCATGACCCAATGAATCACAGCTTTCCGCATAAAAAAAAGAAAACTATCAATTCTCTTTGAGAAGTTTGCATTTATTAATTTTCTTCAGGAAAGAAAAAAAATTACAAGTCAATAAGATTAACAAAACTTTTTTGGCATAGTCATGAACGAGTTAACAACAGAATAGAAATTTTTCTCCATACTTTAAAAAAATCCACCTGGAACATCAGTTGTTATTCTTAGAAGTGTTAGATCCAATTTCGAATAAACAACGTCATTTAACAGCTGTCAAATTTCATTTTTAGAAAATATGGAGTTGATAGTGAGATAGTGGAAACTATGACTCAGTTGTATGCCAACTGACTGAGTGTCCAGCGGGACAGTTTAACGTCATCCACCACGTGAACAGAACCGTGAAGTTGGTCTATAAGTGGTTCCTGTATCTCCAGTCAACGGATTATAATCTGTAGTGGTCAAAATAATGTATAAAAATATATAAATCGTTGTCAAAGTCATAGAAGTTGATTGAAGCAATTATGTCAGTAAAACTTGGGCATGACGGTAGGTTATAATTTCTTATGGCTAGCAGATTAAGCCGAAAATGTTAGTTGTTTGAAGCCAAATAGCAAGAAATCCTGGACCTAGGCTTTGTACTTGTTGGCACTCATCAGCAATCTTGAAGGGATTGTTTTTGTCCTCCGTGAGACTCGTCAGAGACGTTACTGGTGAGCTGCTCCCACCACGACTGGATTGGGTAAATTACAACGTAGCCACTAAGCTATTGAAATTCAACATCACAGGGCACTTTAATAGACGCTCTTTAGATGGAGGCTTGGTAGAAATTTGATGGACTACCCTCCAATATGTACTGTTTACACATCACAGTTAAGATGCTCAGTATAGATTATACAAGTGAAAACTTGATTGCTTCAAAGTTAACCTATTGGTTACTATAAATGGTGCCGATTCTTGAAAGATGAGATACATTTCTTATTTACAGACTTTTATCTCATATACAAATAAGAAAGTGTTTTATCAATTGATATAAGGAGATACATCGGAGTACTTAATACGCAGCCTTTAACTGATTGATAAAATCAGCGTAGTACCTCACACACAAGTGCATCGCCTTAAGTTGCCATTACTTTACGATAGTACACAAAGAACAGGTGGATAGGAAATGAAGTGATACCAAAGTAGATAAAGTTGTGTGAGAGGAGAATAAACGATTTGAAGAAAAAGGTTAGTGCGAATATCTCAGTTTTAGAAGACGTCCATGAGTGAATACATCTACACCGCCATTGTGACTAGAATTTCAGCCCAACCGATAGCTGCTACCTTGACGTGGTGGTCGGGCTTCTATATCACAATCACCCAACGAGCTATGCTGATGCAACACTTGTTCCCTCGAGGTCTTACCATACCAGAAAGGTCTGTTAGATAGTGGTGAGATGAAAAGCAGTTACCGTTGTGGTGTGAATTGCCACACTATGATGGGGGTCTGACGGCGAATCGTACTGCTGCTAGCTGGATACGGTATGACAGGAGTCAGGTGTTTCCCTTGGATGATCAGCAGTACCATGCTGATGCTGCCCTCTCAGTGGAATGAGGGGTGGGGTGGGGGTTAGAAAAGGTCGGCCCAAAAAATAATACACTCCACCATATCCCACGGTCTACCGGGTCGGCGGTGTTGGTTCATTTGTCGTTTCTTTTCGACCATCCGACCCCAAAGCAACAAAAGTTCAAAATACTCATACTCAAAAGGCTATATGTGACAGGCCTCAAGCAGACGTCCGATGGACTCTGTGATCACACAAATCTCTTTCAGGTATCTTAAGAAAAGTTGATGCGCATGGATGGATGGAAAACATCATTTCTGGCTGTAAATGTACATTATACGATAAGCTTCTGACTCATTGTAAAACTTTTATAGTCACGATACGCATAAGTGTAAGTGTTTAAATTTTTATGCACAAATATCTGTAAAAGGAAACTGAATCGAGATTGAAATCCACTCGATGCAATAAGCAATGAGCTACATATACTTACAGTGTGACAGCTAAAAGCTAATACTATCTGGTTGTTCAAACTTCGGTAGATGGAACGGTATTCCGACTGTCTATGAGAGTGAGAAATCCTGATATCAAACATCAAAGGATTATTGTCTTCGATTGGATTTACACTACACATGTTTGCTTCACATGCCATATTTGATGAAAACTTCTCAGTCAAGTAAAAGAAGCTTGCTATGGGTTTCAGCAATTAGAACTGGCATCATAAAAATACTGGTCTAGTTATTTGTCTATATTACTGTGTAATGTATGTCCTTCTTCATGAAGTTCATGTTGACGATGTTACCACTGTCTTATGACCAAACATTTATCATTAAAGCTTACTATGATACATATCTTTATTCACCACTTTTCACAGTAAACCTACTAATAATTGTGGACTATGGGAACATACATTAACGATAACTTATTAACCGTGAGGTAAATAATGAGTAGATGGTTATGACAATACATGGTTGTATGAACTGAAGTTGGTGACTAACAAAGTGATCAAACAAAGACGTGGGACTAGTGTATGAGCCGTATAAGAGGTGTAGACTACCTGGATAGGGTCCCTGAGACTATAGGAATCAATGGTTGAGGACTCTTTTACGTCTTCTAAGCTTGAATATATTCATCAACCTTCATTTTCAAATTTCTTCTCCTTCAATACACCTTGTCTACTTTAATATCATTCTTCTTTCATCCACTTGTTCTTTGCATACTACTGCGATATATGGCAACTTGAACCGATGTACTTGTGTACGAGGTTCTGCTTTCATTTTTTTTCTGCATGTCTGACTAGCAGTAGTGGTGAGGTTTTATTTGTAGTTCACTCCAAGAACTGTTTCGTTGAAAAGCCTAGAATATTCGATAGACATGATGTCATAATTTTAAAAACAGGAACTATCTAGCTTACCATCCGATCGTAATAGCTTCTTTTTCTTCTTCTCATCGCCTTCGGTCTACAAAGTAGAATAAATAAGAATGTAAAACTTGTATTTGGCTTCAAATGATAATTTGCACATCAGACAAACAGACAGAGAAAATCAACGTAGAGCCTTGTACACAACTCCATCGCTACAAGTTACCACAACCTCCCAGTGGTACATAAAGAACAGATGGATAGAATAAGAGTGATATTGAATTGGACAAAGTTGTGTGAGAGAATAAACAAACTTAAGATTACGGTCAACGTAAATATTCAAGCTTTACAAAATGCTAAGGAGTGACTGATTTTCAGCCATATCACCAAGAGCTCCCAAACACTGATTTTTTTTGTCTTGGAGACTCCAACCAGTCCTCATATGACTCCGACCAACAGTAAGAGACTTCACTAACTGGATAAATACGTATGGGTACGACCACTGTAAACAAGTGAAAATACGGATCAAATGTGTAACTAAATATGTGTGGGTAATTATCATTAACACTATACATGTTTGATCCATTGAAATGGACAGTTTGCAGGTTTGGCTTGCACCAATTGATAAGATTGTGTATCTGTTTAGTAACTATGGATTGTTACACATCTTGAACGACTTTTCATGCCGATATATCCTGAAAGCTTGGATAGCCTGGAGGTTTGAGAATGATTGAATTAAGTCATAGTGAAGAATTGTTGAAAGTTGCGAGAAAGCCCGTGTCACTTGATAGCTGCGTGAGTTCTGATACCAACGGAAGGCGAAGTTCACGTTGTATAACGGAACTTAGAATAGCAGCCGTCAACCTAAGTCCTTGAGTATTATAAGGGTAAATAGAGTTGGGATTCTACTGCTTTGACCATTGAGACATATCTTCACAAGACAGAGTAGACGTACACAATGTATCTTCAGACTTAAGTCAGCCGTAGAGTTTTATGGAGGTGAGGAAAGTCACTTGATGAGGGGACGTGAACCTTCACCGACTCAGATGGCTGGAACATTTGTTACGTATGCTTAACTACCGACTGCCTTGTCGCACAATGTTGGCCGAAGTAGGTCCAGGCTGGGAACAAAAGGCTTGAGGTGGCTAAACTAAAACATGGCATCAGTGAAAGAATTTTTTTGACTGTTGGTCCGAACTATGGAGAGAGATATCGACTAGATGGTTGGGGTCCGCATGACAAGAGAAACCAGTGGTTTGGGGCTCTAGGTTATATGGCCATATATTTTCATCTTAACCCCTCCTCTACTTAATCCCATCAACTCATTCTTCCTTCCTCTCTTTTACTCCTTTCTACTTTTATCTCCTCTGACCGGTTTTTCGTTCTTTCTTCATCTTCCATTTTACTGCCTTGTTACTTGGTATGCTGATATGATACGTGGCAACTTGGACCGTTAAGCAGTAATGCCTGGTCCTTTGTTGGTCTTCATGATGATGATCTTCAGACTCTTAAACTCCTACAAGTGTATGTAAGAATGAAAAGCTTTCACCTAACAAAAGTACCATACAAATTCGATTTTGAGAACTTTAATCAGACCAGTTGAGAGGCAGATAATAAATACTATCACCAAAAATGAATTTTGAAGAATTTTTGACTAGAAAAATCTTATCAACTCGTAATTATGAACACAATTTATAAACTGTTAATTGTAGATTTTTATTGAACAGTTAATGCATGAAAGTGATTAACAGAAATCCCTAGATCTAATCTTTGTAAATTTCAACCCTTCATTTGTTAACATGTTGTCGACAATATTTTAACTGAATAACCCCAAAATGTCTTACCAATCTAAACAGGTCAACCATAAAAATCAAAAGATAACCTTGGCTATTATTCAGAAATAGATTATAAAAAGCAACAATCTGAACAAAGAATGCATTTGTACAGCGTAAAAACAAGCCATATTAAAGGCAGATACATTTTCGAATGAAGTGAGATTTAGGGATTGTAAGGAAACCGATTTATCTTTTTTTAATTAGTCATATACAGAAGAATGATATGATGGTGAACAGAAAGATAGCGAATAAGTTGGCACGAGTTGTCTTTAGTTTGCCGAAGGCCAACGGAGAAGTAACGCTTGGACATGTTCTTCCTGAATGCAGAGTTCAGTCTTGTTCGATCTTATTACAGCAGCCTCCACTATGTTGAGCAGGCATTGGTGAACTACATGTGGTATCGTTTTTGGAACACAGTGAATGACATTAAAAACTTTATTAGCACTTATATGATGCTCTGTGTCGTTTCTGAACCAAGCTGGTAAATACTCTAGTATCTGGAAACGCACTTGCCTAATCGTACGCCCTATGTAACTAGTTCCACAGGAACAGTCGAATTGATATATGCAAGATGAAGAGGTAAGATTAAGTAGGCTATGCTTTAGTCTCGGATTGGGCACTGGCTGACTACTGAACGATAACCAAAGCCAACCTGCATGAAACAACCTATTGACTGTTCTAGCTAGGCATTTTGACAGAATGTCACTTGCAACATCTCCCTTGAATTGTAAGCGCAGAAACAAAGGCTTCTTCCCTACCGTCATCAGTTCTTGTTTAGGACCAATGTAGTTGATATTAGTTTCGATGAACTTATCCGGATATCCGTTTTCACTTAGAATATCAGATACACAGTAGTTCTTTTTCCATACACTCATTGGAACAAATCGATCTTACTCTAAATGCCAGGCATCTGATTATATTGTGTTCGTATTTCATCGGTACGAACCTGAGGAAGTGTGTACACTGTGCAGTAGACGTCGGTTTCCTATATATACTTCTCAGTATAAAGCCATCTTCTTTTCTTGTCATCAACACACCAAGGAAATGTCGGGAATCATTGATCTTTTTCAAATGTAAAATGATAGATTAGTAAGTAAATTAACACTCCTTAAATGTATTACTAATTACGATACGAATTCGAAACAACGTGGATGTCTGGGAATCAGTCTGACGAAAATCTTGTTCAAGATTCCAGTTTCTACAATTATTACACGTCTAAGTGGAGCTTAAGAACAGCAATCCCAAGAAAATTAGGCAGGCTTGAGACCAAATAATCACCCTTCACCGAGTTCTTGAGTACAAGCACATTAATCTGCGCCAGGCACGGGCTGCATTTCTTGACCTGAAAGGGGTACTCGATCCCGTCGATCGAGGGGTCTTACAGCAGGGTCTCACTGAAAGGAGTCCTGGCTAAGTAAATCACCCAGTTGGAGATTTTTATTAGAACAACTGCGTGTGTTACAACCTATAGTCAGTTATCTGACGAGTTGGGTACTTCAAGTGGTTTCGTCACGGATGTTCACTCCCTCCATTCTTATTCAACCTTATTATACACGTACTTATAAAAGTCTTTCTCTCGTCATCTAACTTCACGGGGATTGATTTCACCACAAGAGAATCCTTGGTGAATCTAGGGTCTTAGTAGCTAACGACACTGACAAGATGCAGTCATTTGGCAGTTTGAGAATGCTTATGATTTGTTTCTTATCACCTAAATGCAAACACTTGCTCTGCGACTGGTCTTTGCTGGTGCCTTGTCTAATGGTAGTAAGTGGAGCGCGGTTGAGTGCGCTGACCACGTCACTTGCCTAAGGGAGTGGAATCGATCCTAGTGGGTCAGTGGCTGATGAAGTCTCTGGACGCATAAAAAAGGCTCACTTGGCTCTCACTGGCTTAATTTATGGCAACGCTGTGATATCCGATTATACTGAGCTGCAATTCACTCTGACTACCAAACATGGCCATCAGAAGTAGAGAACAAAGCGGATGCTTCAGGTGTTCGACTAGCGTCGCCTTCGTAGCAAAGAGGACAGGATAATAATATTCAAATGAACGTGTCCCGAGTTTAATCGTGTAACTTACGGTTGTCCCATTAATCATAAACTTCGTCAAATTTTTCGCTTGTTTCCTTGCTTCTTCTTCGTCTTGCTTTTTAGATTTGTACCGAGCAATCTCAGCATCAAACTCCGCCTGAAGTTTAGCTCTTGCGGCTTCCATGGCTTTACGATGGGCTTCATCACCAGCTGATGGACGTGTCACAGAATGTGCATTTCGAGAGCGGAAGAACTTCCACATGAAATATGATATCACAAACACAAACAGGGCGATTAGACTGTAGTTGAAGTTCATCTTGGGAGTTACTAAGGATTGAAAAACAGTGTTTCATTAAGGGCCGTATTGTTACTTTGTGGAACTGAAAAATCCTCTTCTACTTCAACCTCTGCATCCATGTTACCGACAGATCACTGAACAGTTGCGGTGTGTTGATGGTAGATTACTTTTTGCAACCGTCCGTCCTGAAGAGCTTAGACCTAAAATTAGCCTTGTAAATTGTAAAAATGCTATTGAAAGTGCAATGATTAGAATAACAAAAGACGAATAAATTAGTATAAAATAACATACAGACTCAAGGACCGGATGCAGAGTCCTAAATATTATGTGACAGTGATTATGACTGGCTACGTAAACCTAGACAGGTGATAAGACAATTCAAAAGTTTATTGTGATCCGATAGTCAGCGAAGATTCATGCTTTTCCTCGAGCACGTGCTTGGAAAGTGACCACAAGTTGGTTCAAGTACGCGGATCTCTGCATTTAAATGGACATAAAAAACGACATCAGTAAAACTATTCCAAGCGCAGTTCGACAATGAGAACACTAGGGACACTTTTAACGAGAAACTGGATCGACTGTAATCAGATCGCGACAACAACCCATCCTGAAGAAGTTTGATGCTTTCTACAGCTTGCTGTAAAGACAGCGTAAAGACAGTAAGTGACTCTTAGACAAAGGTCAGAAAGAGTTGAACGAACGAAACACACTCAAATACCTTGTGCGTATTCATGCAGTAGGCCGTGAGCCACACCTATTGTGCGAAGGTTAGTGATACCACCTAGTTACCCAAACCTCGATAGGTGGGACGGGGCTTGAATCTGCGACCCAATAGTTGGTAGTCATCCCACCAAACCACAGCCCCACTGATAAAGTCAGTGCATCTGGAAAGCTTCTCTCAGATTGGTGTGTGTGCAAAAACATTCCGTTATTTAGTAACGCCAGGTTCCACGTCGACCCTAACTTTGATCAGAAAGAAAAGGGATGAATTTTCCCAAATGTATCGAAGATAAATTCACAACACTTGCAACCTTGATCAATACACCTAAAGGATATTCTGAAACAAAAATACGAGTCAATACAGAATGTGGCACAGAAGTGAATCAGCTCAAGTTGCCGCACTTTCAGTAGCATTTTGAAAAACACAACAACCTTAGTCCCAGTCAACATTTACGCAAGGCAAAACAAAGGGGCGTATTGCAGATTGCAGTGAAAACTCGGGGCAAAACGTGCGGTTTTGCAAAATTTCCCCAAGCTTCTTACCCCACGTTTTCCCCCAAAATGCCCCGTGTTTCCTCGCGAAAATGTTGACTGGGGTTATTCCAATAAACAGTAGTTTTCTGTTGTCGTTCTTGCGATGAAAAGAGTATGTGAGTGGAAAAATAATCTGGAAATACATCAGTCTTGTAGATCATGTTTAAAGTGTATTAATACACGCTAAGTTGTCCCTAAGCTAGGACGTGTGAATCCAAAATGCATAGTTAACCTCCTGCTTCAGCCTCAGACCGTAGTTAATTTCTTGATGCATGTTATCAATGTGGCGTGTCAATTCTAGACTACATATGAACCAGCGCATCGTTAGAGAGCAAACTTACTGTAGTTCGTTCTGTTTTATCGAATTCACTACACATTCTTGAAACAAAAACTCCCATCTTTCAATGAGGTGACTTAAAAGAAACGACCAAACCCTCATACCCAGAGTACAATGTCGCCGAATACCGATCAGGCAGGCAGCTAAAAATTACTTGTGGAATACATATGCCTGTCCTTAAACTTCGTTCGATACGATCTGTTTTGCAACTCAAAATTCACTTTTGATACGTCTCTTTATCTTAGCCAGCAAAGACTTGAAAGAGAATGCCAAAAATGAATCCAATCACCCTTACATACCACTTTGAGCAAAGTGTGGGAAAGTACGCAGGATTCTGCGTGTTTTGAGGAAATACATAAAATTCTGCGAGTTAACTAACACGCAAAATTTTGGGAAAATTTTGGCAACTTTGCGTAAAACCTCCTTCATGTAGTATTTAAATGAAATCATTATCATTGTCGCAGTATGTGGCTGAAATTTTTCATATGATTGGGGAAAATGGGGATAATTGCGTTCCCCAAGAATTTTCTCAAAATGGAATGACTCCTATAGGGGAGTCATAGACTGTGAAATTATTGAAAAGGTAGGGTCAACACAAAAAAACACTGTGACCATGACCGTAAGAATTCTGAATTCGATGGAATAAAAAAGCAAATCTGGTCATGCAACTCACCGACGTCAAAATACTCCCAACGCTTGTGCAGTAGAAACCACAAACATTTAATTTTACCACCAGTGGATGCTTGAACGTGTATCTGTTCTTTGATTGGTTTATCATGAAGGAGCCAAATTCGCTTAGACTACCTGTAGCCCATTTGAAAGTTTGCAAATCCACTTTCTAGCTCGATCTCCAGATTGGCTTGTTTTAACGTTCTGAACTATCAGATATCATCAGTTGTCTTTTATCACTCGAAGTTTCCATTTTCCGGAATAAGGATGGTAGGGTCGTGACCTATATTAACCCTTGCTAGCAGTAGTACCAAGAAGACTCAATCTTACTTTGATAATCTCGAAGGATTAGGAAGACCTTTGTCCCTCAGTAAGGGGTTTCAACGGCAACAATTCTGTTCGAGAAACGTGTTTCCGGAAGAGGACGATTTGGCACCCTAACTACTAGATAATTTCTTGTGAGATGAACTACTGTGGAGTCAATAAATAGTAAGATAAGTCAGAAGGTGAACCATCATTCAAGACACGGTGCATTAAAATAAGATCACTACTCATTTTAAGGCAAGACAGTGAAAAGAGACTTTACGTATACGAAATTCTGAAAGGCTCTTCGTAAGAACTAAAATAATTGAAAGCCTTTGGAAGCTGCTAATGTACAGTTATTTGTTTTAAGGTCATGCTAAACTATGATACATGAGTCCTTGCACTCATCTACTTCGGCCAATAGCCTATCGTTCATCAGGTATCCACGGGAACCATTTTGACATTTGGCATCATCTGCAAACATGCGGATGAAAGTGTCAGTCTTCCTGGGCAACCTTTCCGCGTAGAGTAGCAACAGAAGTGGATCTGATATAGTACCCTGAGACACTACGTCCTTTAATTGTCTCCGTGATGATAATTATCCGTTTACTATCACTCTCTATGTCTTGTAGCAAAGAAAATCGTTGGTCTAGATTCTTATTACACCACCCATCCCAAACATCCCCGTCTTCTTTAGGCCTAGATTGGTTTTGCGAATGGTCTTTACTGAGGGCCTAACACCTGAGCTAGTTAGACCAACCGGGAGATAGTTAGTAGCCAGACGTCTACGGTCGGTTCCGTGGACCCTTCCGATGATGGACTGCCGCAATCCGTGGGTGGTTTTCATTAATTCAGGGACATTTTGAACAACCAAGAGATTGGTTTGGCAATGACATCCACTAGTTTTGATAATACACGGAGTTGCAGCTTATCTGAACTAAAAGACTTACCAGTGTTGCGGTTCTGTAGGAGTTTCGGGTCAACTTTCTCCTCAGTGAGCCTTAGTTTTGTTCATGGGATTTCACCAATGAAATTAGTTTCTGAGTGCCGAATGCAACCTCCAGATAGTACCTCCCTGAAGTACCACCACAGGGCCCCACTCTTACTCGTAACATCATCTGCTGCGTAGGCTGATTCCTTTTCCAGCAGCAGGGCTGGTATGCCTCCTTTCCTCTTGGTTTTCCTCCCAGTATCATCAGAGCACCTTAGAATGGTACGGAGAGGTCTGGAAGAATCCCTTCGCGTACACTAACCCGGATTTTCCAACCGGGTTTTTACAGACACTTCTGGCCTCACGGTGATAGTGGGAATCGCCGCAGCAGTATATCTCGAACAATGCGTTATAAGAGCACACTCCACTTTTACAGGCAATATCTGAGCCTTGTTGCTCTCAATTAAGCTGGGAAAGTTAAAGGAGAATAAATCATCACGCCACGTACAGTCCCCCGAGTGTGCAGTTGTCTTGATATAACAGGTCTCAAATATCCGGTAAATGCTAGTTCATTACACGGCAGTAGTAAAAAGTAATACGAGTGTGATCGCTCAGTATTGACAGTATCCTGACAGCCGTGAGTCACATAGACTGATCAAGACCCATAGTGATAAAGAAGCTCTACACTCCTCTCCGCCGACACAATGCTCATTCAACTCATTTGATGTGGTCACCGCAACAAATGCCAAATTTGTCAACGGCAAAGAAAAAGTCAAGGCGTACCCTGCTCCCTGGACTTAATGAGTCGCCATTTCGCGTTTGTCACCTATTTTCCCTTCCAGATTCCCCCTTCTACGCAGTCTTCTGCAACTACTCACCTGTAGGCTAGAGGGAACCCTACTGACAGCCGGTCTCTACACGTCTCTACAATCATGACCGACCCCAATGACCATCTTAAAGACTAGTATGACTACCACTTGAGTTTCTTTGCATTGTGAGAAGACTTTCCCCCCAGCCGAAATAGAGGAGCTCAGGACTTCTCGTCGCAGGAATGGTGAACAATGGTCCCTTGGGTTGTACGTCTGTGTTAATGCAACACGTCCTTTCTTTGAAATGATTGCTCGTCTTTTCCGCCTCAGAGAAACGTGAAATGGCAGAAATCACCTGTCAGCCAATCCCTTTTCTTCTGCCATTGATGGTACCTTTCGTCTGCAAGGAGACTGGAGGCTTCACGGGTGCAGCTCGGCTGCACCACGAGAATCTGAATGGGCATCTAACGTTCTGCAAGCGTCTGTATTAGGTGGTACAGTAGCTTCTTAGATGAGGGAGGTTCGCAATTTGCATATCCTGAGGGCTGAAAAGTTAGCGCCAATCCCTGCACACATCTCACGCTGGGATAGGGTTTCCGTTTAAAAATTGAGGAAGGTCTATCTGAATGAGGGGGACTATGGTCAGTAGGACGCGCCGCGACGGTAACCCCCTTGACCCTCCTGTATTGTACAGGTTGCAGCTTTAAAGCAACTAAGCTTCCAGATAACGCCCGTGTTGTGGCATAATCAAATTTTGGATCTGTTCTGCGAACCCATTCCAAGGTGGCAGTGTCTTTCTTCAGATACTGTGACATAACCAGTGACTTTTTTCTAGGCAAGGGTGAATATACAGTCTGTAAACTGTCATGAAAATGCCTCGAGTTATTTTCTCTAGTGCCTCGTCTTCCAAAAATGCAATACCCACCAGTTGGAAGGAGATTAAAGTTGTGCCCGTGCCTAAATCATCTTCAGGACTGCATATTAAGCTTCAGTCAGCCGCCATAACTTCCCTCCTTTTGGAACAGCTGAAAAGTTACTTCTTCTTGTTCCTGCTTCTTCGCTGAGGGCTTTCGCAGATCGAAAACCGTATGACTGCAAAGACAAGAAAGGTAATTTAGATGCTACCATTGTCTTGCATCACAGTGTTGTTTCCAGTAAAGACATAGTTACCAAGCGTATTCACTAGGCCACCTTGCACTACCAGTCTGTCTTTGACCTTGTTCCCACACTACTCTTGATAAATAAACTTGTCGCTGCTCATACTGATTCATCAAGTTACCAATTGGACACATTCTTATTTTCCTGAAAGGAAACTGTGTGCTGCTCATAAAAGGAAGAGCTTCACTTCATTGCTTACTGAAGCCGGTGTGTCTGAAGATGCAATACACTCCCTACTTCTGTGTTCCCTTTTTTATGGCTACACTATTCTGCTGAAACTAATTTCACTGGGTATCCTAACTATCTGACGGTTTCAAGCTTCGTGTTGTAGAATTAGCGAACGGTGGTTCCTTGGGTTCTGCGCCTGTCTTATTGGAGTGTGTTCTGGGTTCGGGATGGTCACAATTGTCTCCCCGGTTCCGAAGAATCCGAAAGGATACATGTAATCGGCTGTTAACTAATCTGGTCCCGAGGTAGTGTTACTGCACCTGATCTGCGGATGACGGAAAGCTCCTTGAGTACAGCCAATCGGTACCGTAGGACCCCAGATGGGCGTCTAACCTCTATTTAGAAGCATCAAAAGACGGGGCTGTAACAACAGCTAAAAGAAGGGAGTTCCACAGTTTACAAACTCTAACCACAAATAAGTTAGCATGGATCTTCGTACGTGCTCACTCATGCTCTATTCGTAACGGGTGACCCCTCATGTCGCGTTTCTGGTTAAAGCTTAGAGGGGATCTGTTAGGATGGAGAAGATTATAGGAGATGTGGTACATCATGATCAAATCCCCTCTGGTCCTTCGGCACTGTGCTGGATGCAGCTCAAGAGCAACTAAGCCGTTTGGGTACGGTTTATGCCGTGACCCAACCACTTTCTTTGTAGCTCTTCTCTGTACCCGTTCCGGGATGACTATGTCCTTTTTCAAGTATGGGGATATCACAAGAGAATTTTCCCCTAGATGAGGGTGAATGTACACAGCATACATTGTGGTGGAAAGAGCAGTTAGACTCCGTAAAATTCGCGGGAGAAGCCCCAAAAACTCCATAGGCCTTGTTAATTGCAGGGCAACAGTGGACTGACGTTCCAAGTGTATCGCTCAGCGCAACTCCCAAATCTTGTTCCATGTTAGAGTGACAGATACTTATTTCACCCAGTGGGTATCAGCTGGGACTGCGTCTATATATAAATCGACTATCATCATCTGACACCTCTTCATGTAGTCCAATCAAGGGTTTTCGTAAGGTCCGCCTGGAAGATCGAAATATCCACTGGCACCTATGTTT